TAGAGCACCCCTTGGGATGTGGTGGAACCCCGTTTCACTTCATGGATGTGCAGCTGACAAATCTGCAGAAACTGCATTATGCTTCCATGTCAATATGGAAATCTCTGAGTATTTCCAGTACGTTGTTGAATCTATGCCACGAAAAAATAAGGCAGTTCTGAAGGCAAAAGATGGTCCAACCTGGTACTAGTAAGGTGTACTTAATAAAGTGGCCCGTGAGTGTATATCACTCCAATATGATTGTAGACACACTATACCTACTGTACACACAGTTCTATCCAAACAGCTTCCAAAACTTGTTTTTCATCATCGGTGGCTTTTAAAGTGCGATTTAAATGCTTAACAAGATTAATTAGGTTAATGAGGCAAGTTAGGGTAATTAGGTAGTAACGATGGTTTGTTTCTGAGATAATCAGTAAAAAACATTGCAAAAGGGAGCTAATAAAATTTAATTTGTTTAAAAAAAAATGAAAAACTGATTTTATTCTAGTCAAAATAAAGCAAATAAGACTTTCTTCAAAAGGTAAAATATTATAGAAAATACTGTGAAAATGTCCTTGCTCTGTTAAACATCATTTGGGAAATATTTGAAAAAGAAAAAATTCACAGGAGGGCTAATCATTTAAACTTCAACTGTATATAGAAAACTTTTAATCAGGTTACAGATTTTTACTGTAGCATTTTCATTCATTTATTCTCTTTTAGGCTTAGCCCCTTTATTAATCTGGGGTCGCCACAGCGGAATGAACCGCCTACTTATCCAACATTTGCTTCACACAGCGGATGCCCTTCCATCTGCAACCCATCACTGGGAAACATCCATACACACCCATACACTATGGTCAATTTTAGCATACCCAATTCACCTGTACCACATGTCTTTGGACTTGTGGGGGAAACTGGAGCACCGGAGAAAACCCACGCGAACACGGGGAGAACATACAAACTCCACACAGAAATGAAAACTGACCCAGCCAAGGCTCTAACCGGCAACCTTCTTGCTGTGAGGCGAACGTGACTGTAGCATTTTTACAGTTGAAATCACAGCCATTTCTTTTTAAAGTGTACACTGAAATAATGGCTTCTGCAAAATTGTTGCAAACAATTTAGAAATGTTGAATTTAAACAAACAAATTGAGAAATGTTCAACTAAATTTGTTTGTTTAAATTCAGAATAAATAATTTGTTTACAAACACTTAGCAATTTTTTCTTATTTTAACTAATTTTACTAATTTGGTAATTTATTAAAGCCAAGGAATCATCTTTAAATCCTTTTTTTTGTAAGTGTAGACCTGTTTAATACAAAATAACACTGTGAACTACTGTTCCTAATTTGAATATTCAAACTTTTATTTTAGTTTTACATATAAGACAGGGAAGTGTCCTCATTTGTGAAGAATCGTTTTTGCAACTGCGTTGTGACCATGCATATTTTCTGCCATTTAATCCTGCCTAAACATGACTATTTCACAAGCAACCCAGCTCGAATTTCTTTCTGTAACATTAGAAGGTGTCCGACCACCTGTGCTGCTGCTGCTGTTGTTTTTTTTTTCATCATCTCACACATTGTGGCTGCTGACTCCTCTATTGCATCAGGCAGTCGGTGCTTTGTAATTGTGACTCCAGAGATCCCCCTTCTCAAGCGTTGGACTCTCCAGGATGAGTAATAGAGACTGGGGCCATGTTGGCCACCCTCCCACAACACAACCAAACCACTGCTGCAATCACATGCAATCCTCTCACTGCCAAATACCGGTTGCTTAGAGACCAAGGTCACCTGGGTGAAAGCACCTGAGGAGAGGAAGACATCATAGCAGCTCCAAATGCAACCATACCATCATCTACACTGACAAACAGATCTTTCTAAACCAATAGCGTTCAAATAAGTGCAGCGTTCAGTCAGCGAGCCTTTATTTTACAGCTAATGTGGTGTTAAACACTTTCGTAATTGCCTCTGTGCAACTTTACAGCATCCATAATTGAGATTGAAATGCAGCGCAATTAACTCAAGGACAGAAGCGGCGTTAAAGCAGGCCTGCAATCTGTTGTCACAGCGTGTAACATTGCGTAAACGATTGCTTGTCTTTGCACCATGCAAGTTTGTGTTGTCGAGGGGAGATGCTAATTGATTTCTTCTCAAGGGAGAGAGTTTCATCACGCTTTGTTTTTAACCCTCTCGTACAAGGTGGCACACGCTGATCTCTCAGGAGTTCTTCGGCTTTACAGAGTCTCAGACACACTGAAGTGAAACAAATGGGCCAGGACGCAGCGTTCAAGGAAATTATTGTACAATCAGCTAATGCTGATTATTAAGGATTAGAAGGTTTATTAAGGATTTAGAAGGGTAGTGTATGAATAAAATACAGGATTTTAAAAACCAAGACGCTTGTTGTTTATTTTTTTAAATGTACAAACTGCAATGATTGATCAAATTTAGCAAATGTTTTATTTAATACAATTTAAGCTGCTCAAAAGTTGGAGGTTGGTAAGAATATAAATACACGTATAAACTACCGGTCAAAAGTTTGGGGTCAGTAGGGTTTTTTAAAGGTTTTAAAATAAGCTTCTCTTGCTCACCAAGGCTGCATTACTTAACTCAATTCAATTCATCTTTATTTCTAAAGCACTTTCACAATGTAGATTGGGTCAAAGCAGCTTCACATAAAAGATTATGGTGAATTGAAACAGTGTCAGTTCAGTTTTCAGAGTTTAAGTTCAGTTCAGTTTAGTTTAGTTCAGTGTGTTTCAATATTCGCTGCTGAGAGTCCAAACACTGAAGAGTAATCCATCGATGTGCAGCTCTAGAAGTCGTGAACTATTCAATCCAGTGGCGACAACGGCGAGGAAAAAAACTTCACCAATGGGCGAAAGTGAAGAAAAAAAAAAACCCAGAGAGGGTACAACTATTTCCAATATGGCCAACGATTCTCATATTGATTTAATTAAAAATATAGAACAAATTGTGAAATGTTTTTGCACTATAAAATAACTGTTCAAAAGTAGTTTATAATTCAATCATTTATTCAAGTGAGTTTAAAGATGAATTTTCAGCTTCATTACTCCAGTCTTAAGAGTCACATGATACTTCAGAAATTCTTCTAATATTAAATTATTATTATTATTATTATTATTATTATTATTATTATTATTATTAATGGTAATAGTAATTAAAACAATGATGACTAGAGTAAACATTTAATTTGAATAAACATACAATAAGTAATAAATAAATACTTAATAAATAATTATTTAACAATTTACTTTTTTTTTTTTTACATTTAATAAATGCCTCCTTGATGAACAGAATAATTTTCTTAAATAAAAAATAAAAAAAACTGACCCCAAACTTTTGACTGGTAGTGTATATAGTTTTTTGGTCATCAGTAGACCCACACAGAATCTGCGTGCACAGAAATCCACAGAATTCTGCAGATTTTTAGCTCATCATTGAGTCTATGTATTTACTTGTGTGAATGTGTGTAAGTTTATAGTTATACCATTTTAAAATTCATTTCACTAATATTATTGTGTTATAATACTAATAATAGTAATATAAAAATGTTTCTATGATTTATTTACAATACAGTTTGTAAAGTAATATGTTCTGTCTTTTAGAGATACTATATGAGAGACTTGCTTTGTTTACCAAATAGGTGGATCAATTTGAATTTGCATTGTAAACACTAAACAGAAGTTATAAATGTATTATTTGTTGATTTGATATATAACATTTTAGTTATGATATTCCCAAAATCATTCTGCATAAATCCGCAGATTTTTTATCAAATACTCTGCAGAAATAGCAAAAAATGTCTGCAGATTCTGTCTGGCCCTGCTCATCAGAGATGATATCGCATTAAACAGAGATGATATGCTCAACAATTTATGTTAGCTGTTTGTTTAAATTACTTATTTAAAATGAGCTGAAACAACACAATTCCTCAGTTGTTGTTGGGATAACTAAATTGTTTTATGTTCAGTCAAATTAAATTTGTAAAAATCAGTTAACTTAATTCTTTTGTTTAGTCCCAACACATCAATTGTGTGGATCCAGTGCACACAATATTCATTCAAATTAAAGTAGATTGAACATAAAACTGTTAAGTTGTCCCTGAAAATCTGAAGATTTGTGTTGTCTCAGCTCATTTTAAATAAGTTTGAACAAACAGAAAAAGTATACTTTTGAGTGTGTTATAAAAGCTTCACGATCCTTCAGAAGTTATTTTAAAATGTTGATTTTTGCTTTAGAATGATTTCTTATTATTGTCATATATTATGGGCTGCTTAATATTTTAAATAAACGACCACTGAGTTTTTTTTTTTAAATAGAAACATATACACCGTAAAACCCAAAAATTTACGGTAACTGTTTGAAGAAACGGATTGCAACAAACCATTTACAGTCAAAAACTAATCCTTAGGAGTACTATGAACTTAATCCATTTGAGTAAATGAAGCAATTTGAGCACAGTAAAACCCAATTAATAAAGAGAACTCAAGCTAACTGAGTACTGTAAAACCCAATAAGTTAAGGCAACTCAAACCGTTTAAGGACACTGATAGTAACAAACCATTTGAGTATAAAAACTAATCTTTATGAGTACTGTGAACTTACTCCATTTAAGTTGGAGTAATGAGGTATTTAATTAACTCATTACCTTTAACACAGAGTTCAAAACTCTTTTCAAATGAGTAGAATTAACTTTCAGTCAATTTTAAGTTAACTTCACTCATTTCATTTGATAAAGTTGACTGTTGGGTTTTACAGTGTAGTAAAAAAAATATATATTTTATGTTAAGCAGTTCTCGATGACCTTTTGAATATAGGTGTGTTTGAACAAATGTATACGCGTGTGTAAATATTTAGTTGCACTGTAACTCGGTTTATCTTTTTTGCATTTTTCAAAAAAATTGAATAACAATAGTGAATGACAAACAGTTGTCTAATTTCAAGCCATTTTAAACCACTTGAATAAACAACCTAAAAATGCTGTTATGGTTTACTCATCCTCAATTTATTCCAGGTCTTTTGTCAAACACAAGAGAAGATCTTTTGAAGAACGGTTTAGCTGTTTTGCCTTTACAATGAAAGTCTAAAACAACGATAGGTTCCAGTACCTTTCATTGTATGAAAGAAAAAAAAAACATTTCTTCTTTTGTGTCATTTCAAAAAAGATGAGTAAATCAGGACGGCATATTCATTTCTGGGTGAACTAACTCTTAAAATAAAAAACACTAGTCTACTGTTTCAACATATCTACAAGTTGTGTTAAAAATAAATGTGTGCTTGGTCACAGTAAAACATCAGTAAGGCATTCAAACTAAATGAACATTCAGTGGCGGTCAAAGTACAGTGTGTTGGGACACAGCGGTGAGGTATGATTGTCAATTTAAGTCAATGCATGAGTCTGGAGTCCTGCCTGGGAACTGAAGATCAATAGTTACAATCATGAAAATGACTGAGAGGCTGGTCATTTCTTCTGTACAGTGTCTCTATAGGCCCGCATCTTTTCCCTGTTTGACAAACTAAAGCAGTACCCAATGGCCTTCTCAGTGTCACCGATTCTCTTCCGGAAACGGTCTCTGTCCCGCGCCAGCTCCTCCCACGGTCCCTTACGTGATGCTTGAAGAGCAAAGGACCATGCTCGCATCTTGTGAACTTGTACGACGGGAGAAAATTTCACCTGGAAAACATTCAATAATATGCCGTTACTTATTACCTAAAGCAAAAGAAAAATTCTGGTCAAAGTAGCACATTTCTGCTGAAAGTCTGAAGCGCAGTTATGAAGTAAACCTCACGCAGTGTCTGTAGGTGAAAGCTATAACATACTAACACAGTCACTTAAATTACTACTGACATTTGTATTTCATTAGTAGTTTACAAAAAGTTTTACAGTTGCTCCGTGAAATTTAGCAAGCGAAATCTTTAATCTGCAGTTTCACATCAGGCCAAAAAAGGTGCATCATGAGGATTTCAGCTGTGTAAATGTGCTAAATTCACAACACTGACCAACAGAAAGCTACCTGATTTGAAAATCAAGTGTAGGATTTGTCCTTTATATATTACAATGAAGCTAAAGAGATGTAGAGCCGCCATTTTTGTACAGGGTAGGGTTCAGTTGAAATAAATGTAGGACCAAGGTGCAGTCGAGGACAGGCCATCCAGAGTCAGAAATATATACACATATACATATATCTAATCGGGTGTATTCCCCGTGGTCAGTGTGCAAATATATATATATTTTAATTATGAAAATTATAATTTTACATCACTTTTCTTAATCGATGAATAAGTGAACGCACGAGCATTGCCGACAATGAGTGTGTGTTTGTGTGCACGGAAATGTATTATCCTCCCCAACTGTTTAATTTGATCTTATCGATGTCCTGAAACACATCCCCTCACCTTTCACTTCTCATTCTAGCAGAGGGAGCGATTTGTTTGTGAATAAATCCCCGTTATAAACAATTCCTTCACTTAGTCGACAATAACACAAGTTTCTTGCTTATTTTATTCGACAAAACTAGCATAAGCCTAGTATTTACTGCAAGTTGGTGCTACTGATGGTGTCATACAAAACCTTAAAAAACTAATTCTTACCTATAAAATGTTCTGCCTTTGTGAATGTTTTTTTTTTTTTTTGGTCATTACTAAACCCGTACACAGTGTTAAATTCCAGCATCTACACATTACCTTTAGTCTTGTCTAGTGCAGTTGAATGGCATTTGTCCTGGGAGCACTGAACAAATGTGGCGGCGCTATTGACGCATGCTCAGGGCCCGTTTGCAATATCTATTGTTTATATCTATGACTCACCCTCAGACCAAGGGTTGCCAAATCTGTGGTTTTCACACTAAATTTGGCTATTTTTAACCACTTTCAGCAGGATGTTTTTTTTTTCCGCAGGTTAAAAATTTGATATATTGTATTAATATTGTTTTCATTTTTGCGCTGTAATTATATTACTCTACCAAATTTGCATTCTACCCATGATAAAACTGTGGTGGGATGATGAAACATCTTGTGAGGTGCAGAAGCTCTAGAAGAGAGACTGTATGAGTGTCTGTTTTCGTTTCCTTGGTAACAGGACTTTCCAGGTTATCAACTGCAAAGGAATATGTAATCTACTGAAGAAAACCCGCCCATTTACAATTCAATTATTTTATGGAAGCTTATTGAGATTTTTAAAATATCTTTAATGTGAAATTAAATTCACGATATTAAGTGTTTTACTAAGTGAAGTTTATGTATAAACAAATTTCGAGAGGATAACGTGCTTATGATTGCTAGCAGCTGACCCGCAATATCTAATTCACTACGATCCAATCAGATGACTCCTAAACTACTTTAAATACCCTGGGGTTTATTCCATTGCTATCTTCGTTTTGAAGAGTCCCCCCTTCCTCCCCTACTCCTCCTTCTTAGACGGGTGACACGGTGGCCCAGTGCGTAGCACTGTCGCCTCACAGCAACAACGTCTCTGGTTCCTGGCTTTACCAAAACTAGCAGACATTTCTGTGTGGAGTTTGCACTTCTCCCCGTGCTCACGTGGGTTTCCCCCGGGTTCCCCGGTTTCCTCCCACCGCCTAAAAACATGCAATTAAGTCAATTGAACAATCCAAATTGTCAACATAGACACGCTTCTAGTTAGTAATTAATTTCAAGGGCATTCACTTGCTACAGCAGGGGAGTTCTCGAGATCTACCTGAGCTCAAACTCCCCTCCCGCCTTGCAACGGGAGGGAGCCCTGGGCTCGAGGATCTCATGAGCTCAGGACTCTCTCCCGGGACAGCATGCCAAACAAGCTTTTATAATTAATCATCAGCTAAGTGTGAACTCTTGAATAGGCAGTGGCATATTTTAAGTTTTGAAATGACTGGGCTAGATTTGACTAGCTATTGGCCTAGTTTTGTTGGCCTAGTAGGTGACATTTTCTCTTTAAAAGAATTTTAAAGATCTCTAGCTGAAACTGTAGTCCTTGGTGATTTATGTGGTGCAAGTCAGCATCTACTAACACTTTTAAAAATCATAAAAAACATGTATAGTCAAAACTGAAATAATACCTGTAGCTCCTGAAAAATCATTACGTCTAATGAAGCAAAATAATAATCTGAACATCCATAACAAGATGATTAATCCGCAGGCTCAGCAAATGATCATGGGTGCATTCACAATATAGCACAAGCTTTCTGTCACATAATAAGGTGTGTAGAACAAAGCCCACACTTGAGCTGATGCTATTTGTTGACAACTTTTTATATAGGATCCAAGTTGACCAATGAACACAAATTCAGCTAATTATTATTCACTCTTATGTTGTTCCAATCCCCTGAGACACTTCAGACAGAAGCATTCAAAGTCCAGAGTTAGAACCAAAACAGTTAAAACATGGCGCTTCAGTGTTTCAACTGTAATCACAAGGAGCTCCATGACCTCTTTTAAGCACCAAATAACCTTTGCTTGACTATACATTGTCTCCCGCATCAGGTCTCCAGGATGTGTGTGTAATATGGACAGTACAACATGATGTGTTAGAAATAGGGGAACAAAGTATTTTTTTTATTTATTTTGGCTTCATATGATTACACTTGAACCACTGAAGTCACAATCAAAGTTTTGACAATATTTTGTGGACGTCTTGGGACCATTGCTGTCTATAGAGGATAAGGGAGCTCTCAATTTTCATCTAAAATATCTTAATTTGTGTTCTGAAGATAAACAAATGTCTCAGGGGTTGAAACAAAACGAGAGTGAGTAATTATTCATTCAATCATTCATTTTCCTTTGGCTTAGTTCCATTGTTCATCAGGGGTCTCCACAGTGGAATGAATCACCAACTTATCCAGCATATGTTTTACGCAGCAGATGCCCTTCCAGCTGCAACCAGTACTGGAAAACATCCATACACACACATGCACTATGGCCAATTTAGTTTATTCAATTCACCTATAGCGCATGTCTTTGGACTGTGGGGGAAACCGGAGCACCCGGAGGAAACCAACACGAACACGGGGAGAACATGCACATGAACTCTACACAGAAATGCCAACCGGGGCTCGAACCAGTGACCTTCTTGCTGTGAGGTGTTCGTGCTACCCACTGTTCCTCAGTGTCGCCTAGGGTGAGCAATTAATTAGAATTTTCATTTTTTTTATGAACGATCCCTTTAATTGAACCTTAAAAGGACCACGGTTTCAGCCGAAATCTTCTTTACTGTTTTATGGAAACAAAATCATCTACATCCTGGATGATATGAGGGTGAGTTTATCAAATGCAAACTTTCATTTTTAGGCGACTGGTTTATTTGTGACTGATCATTACCTTCTTTAATTTGGGACTTCTCTTCTGGTTGCCTTGAACAGATGTCACACCAACATGTCTTTTCCATGGCACCACTGATAATGTCTCAACTGATAATTTGCGGCAGCAATGGCGAGCCACTTTGTTTGGCAGTAAAGCCGGCTTTGAGCGCCTTGAAGATTTAAGGGGTCTGATTGGTGTATTTTGCATATTGTTGCTGGGTGAATCATGTTTGGAAGGTACTGGAGTCACAGATGAGCTTTGAAGAGGTGCTCTGAAATTCAAAGGGTGGTACGGGTCGTCATTTTGGGAAAGGGATCTCCATAAGGCCTCTTCTTCTTCATCTTCAGAACCTGGTTTGGAAGAATCTGAGCTGGTAGACACAGTGGACTGAGATGCAATGGGACTTTCTGCTTTTGAAACCACCTCTGGTTTGGGTTTTTCAGTAACTACAGTGGACAAGCAAGCTGTGAAGTGCAGCGGGTGATATGGATCAGTCGACTTGGTCAGAAGATCCCAGAGTTTGTCGCTTTCCTCACGTTCTCCTTCGAAACAAGAGCTGTCTGTGCTGCCCCAGCTGAACTCGCTGTCTGAGAAATGACTGATGGACTGTACTTGACGTGAAGACTGAACATTCTCCTTTGATAAAGCACAGGAACCAGGATCGCTAATGGGTTTCTGATGCTTTACAAACTCCTTCGTAAACCCTGCCACGTGTGCGCTGAACGTACAAGTGCTTTCTGAACCGCACTTCCTCTCAGAACCTCCTAATACAGTCCAGTCATATCCATGTTTCCACACAGAGTGATCTCCAATGTAGAGATCATCTGTGTCGTTGAGACACTCGGTCGCATGGGACACGAGGTCGTCCACCAAAGAGCAACAGAGTTCATCACTGACTAGACTGGACAAGACGGCTCTGGAGTGGGAGCTCACGTCAAATGGGTCTCTGCCGAATTTGGAAAGCGGACTGGAACCCCCCACCACAATGTTTGTGTTGTTTTCAAACAGGGATGAGAGCAGGAAACTGTCAGAGGGGTCTCCTGTGCTACTTGTCATGTGCTGAATGTGTTGCCCTGTCTCGTCTGTAATTCTTAGATGAACTTCAAACCGGAACATCTGGAAAACTGATAACCAAACAGAGAATTAAGTTTTTTATAAAACTCAAACAAACAAATAAATAAATATTGTGTTGTATTTTATCACTGACTAAAGGTCTGGTAACATTTCTTCCAAATTTCATATATATATATATATATATATATATATATATATATATATATATATATATATGATCATTTAGAGCTTTTATTTGTTTATTTTTTTTCAATCTTTAGAAAATGACAACTGGTCAGATTAATATGTTTTATACAAAATCAGGATTAATTCATCAAAAATTGATTTCCTAACACTTCTGAAGTAAAACCATTGGTATTGTGTCATCTAAAATGAATATACAGTTGAAGTCAAAATTATTAAACCACCTTAATTATTAGCCCCCCTCTATATTTTTTCCCACAATTTCTGTTTACAGGGATAAGATTTTGTTTAACACATTTCTAAGCATAATAGTTTTAATAACTCATTTCTATTAAATTATTTATTTTATCTTTGCCATGATGAGAGTAAATAATTTTTGACTAGATATTTTTCAAGACACTTCTATACAGCTCAAAGTGACATTTAAAGGCTTAACTCGGTTAATTAGGTTAACTAGGCAGGATAGGGTAATTAGGCAAGTCATTGTATAATGATGATTTGTTCTGTAGACTATCAAGAAAATATTTAGCTTAAAGGGGCTAATGATTTTGACCTTAAAATGTTTTTTAAAAAAATTAAAAACTGCTTTTATTCTAGCCGGAAAAAAAAAAAAAAAAAAAAAAAGACTTTCTCAATATTCTCAAATATTATCAGACTTAGTGTAAAAAAATTCCTGGCTCTAGTAAAAAATCATTTGGGGAAATATTTGAAAAAGAAAAAAAATATCAAAAGGGGGTTTCAATAATTCTCATTTCAACTGTACACACGTTATTGTATGTTATTGTATGCACAAACAAATACATAAATGTCAACATTTTTAATTGATATTTATTAAAAACGTTATCAGTAGTTTAAAGAATAACAATTTTCTGTTTTGTGTGTGTGCGTGTGTGTTTTATGATAAAATATATACATGAATGATAGCATTCTTACACTTAAAATAAAAATATATGGAACGTAATTCTCTTTACAAAATATTACATGTGACGATAATAGGCTGTATTAAAACTATAATGTATGATTGTTTTAATAAAATATATAAATGTCAAAAGAATTTATATATATATATATATATATATATATATATATATATAGAGAGAGAGAGAGAGAGAGAGAGAGAAAGAGAGAGAGAGAGAGATAGATAGATAGATAGATAGATAGATAGATAGATAGATAGATAGATAGATAGATAGATAGATACACAGACAGAATATTAATAACCATAACAGTGCAGCATAAAACATCACATTTTTATAAATTATACCATTAAAATTACTGATAAAAGCGACGTTATACAGATCATTAAAAAAACAAAAAAGCTAAGTAATAAAAGAATAGACGGGTTAATTTTTGCTCTAAGAATTTAATTCAGTTTCACAAAAAAAATATGTAACGTTATTGTATATCTTATAATGTTTTTTCTTTATATAAAAAACCAGCAAAAAGACCCCATTTGCTTTTCGCCAAGTGGCTTAAGGACATCTTGTATAGAAATGTAAAAGATCGGAACAATTTTGAAAATATCAACAAGATTAGCAGCCTACATGTACGTCTTTGAACTTATCTAATAAGATCACTTCATAATCTTAAACAATTTCTCAAAAATTATTCGGAAAAATAATAGCCTACGTCTATGGACTGATCTATATTAGAAAATCGGAACATTCATAATTTAAAACCCTTCAAATAGGCTATGAAAGCATAAATTACTCGTCATGCTTGCAAATATCATTAGAAATAATAGCCCACAGCTATAAACTAATCTAAATATAACAACATCAGTGCATTCATAAAGTAAAACCGTACAAATAGATCGTGAAAGCATACCCGTCATGAGTGTGCAGCAGATGACCTGAACCAGCAGTCGCAGGTGCTCCCACACAACCGTCAGGATCTGTTTGGTCCAGGGCAGGAGCATCATCCCGCTGTCCCCGAACCGCCGCAGCGCGGTTCGCTCCGACGCGCTCCTCTCCATCCTCAAACGAAGAAATACCCTGTCACGTATTCTGATACTCGTCCCTTAGTTTGTTCTCTCGGTAGTAAAGTATCGGCTGATTTCTGAAGTTCGCTAAACACATCTTCGCAGATAAGTGAGTGTTAACTCCGAGCGAAAGCTGCTGAGGTCCTCATGATCGCCAAGTCAGGTTTACAGCAGCTCCGAACGAACATGCGTCGATGACAAACAGCTAAAACTTATGAGAGCGCTGCAACATAAACAAATATCTCCAGCCAGCAACCAGGCGACATTCTGATTTGATGGCTTGTGTGTCACTCACATTAACACCGCCCCGTTTTAAAATAAACCACGCCCATTTGATCGTGTAGGCAAGTGACGCATGGTTTGTTGTCCCATGTGACAAGTCATGAAACCACAGGTATACATGTTTCTCCTCTTACATCATTCTACTACAGGCTTACTCTATACACGTTTCTTGAGGCACACACTTGCTTTGTTACTCATTTTATATGATACATTTTCGAATTAATGGGAAGTTTTTGTGGTTTCCAGTTTTAAGCACTCCAGTCAGCGTCATGTGGACCCATATGGATTTTTTTTTACTGATCCCTGCCAAAAAAAAAATCCAGCTTAAAACAGCCTAGGATAAGTATATTACTACAATACTGTTGTTGTTGTTGTTTTTACAATTATAGGGTATATTACACTACAATGCAGCACAGATTACTATAGTAAAAACTAAAGTATACAACACAAACACATTTTAACAGGTCACCATAGTTAGTACTACAGTATGCTGATGCATTCGTTACCAAAAGGTAGTCAATACTATACACAGTATAATACACTTATACTATAGCATGGTTCAAAGACACTATAGTTTGTGCTCTAATACTTTGATAGTATATTTATCATAGTAATCCCAAAAATGGATTGTGAAAAAATGATTAAGTCACATTTAGTTTGGATATAAAAACAATACTTTAATGAATATACCATATAAGTGCAATAAATATTAAAGGTCTAAATATTTTATTGGTCCACTAATTACAATATTTACAAAAATATATTAGATGTGATATGCATTTCTCACATTGTCGCACAGCAACATTATTATAGCACAGAATAGTGTACAATGTTTTATAATAAAGATTTACTTAGTTGAAGTTCATTTTATTTTACAAATTTAATATTGGTGGATAAGTTTTTAAAAAAGTAAGTTACCTTCCCTGGTAGTTGCTTTTATAATGTGTAATTCAGTTACTAACAAATAAGTTACTGTTTGTAAAAAGTAACTATAACCAATTAGTTGTCTGAAAAATGATAAATATATTTGTTAAATGGACGCGGTGGCGCAGTAGGTAGTGCTGTGGCCTCACAACAAGAAGGTCGCTGGTTCAAGCCTCAGCTGGGCGTTTCTGTGTGTAGTTTGCATGTTCTCCCTGTGTTCACGTGAGTTTCCTCTGGCTGCTCCGGTTTCCCCCACAGTCCAAAAAACATGTGGTACAGGTGAATTGGGTAGGCTAAATTGTCCGTAGTGTACGAGTGTGTATGCATGTTTCCCAATGATGGGTTGCAGCTGGAAGGGCATCCGCTGCATAAAACATGTGCTGGATAAGTTGGCAGTTCATTCTGCTGTGGCGACCCTGAATTAATAAAGAGCCTACGCTAAAAAGAAAATTAATTAATGAATATTTGTTAAATGAAAACACAAAGGTCCACTTCATAAGGCATGCTTTAACCTCCTGGTGGCGTATGGGTTAGTTTGACGACAGATTTATACACTTTTGGAAGCTTTAAAATTAAAAGCCACCCAACATACAGTATGAAAAAGCCTAAATAAATATGTATAATACTCTGACTGTGCTCAACTGACAGAAAAAAGTCATATACGAGATGCCTGGTGACTAAATTATGGATGTTAACTTAAATGTTCAGACGCAAAAACCTCTAAATGAAATTTTTTTCAACTTCATTTGTTTATGTTGAGAAATTTCACTTTAAAGAACAGGAAAATAACTTATTCTTTAACTGGCATTTAACTGGCATTTAAAGGTTTTCGCATCTAAACTCTTATATACTTCAAATCTATCAGTATGTTAGTTTTAAGAATATCGATAAGCTAGTGTGTTCCAAAATCTGCATTTAGAAGATATGAACCTGATATGAATGTAATGTGTATTTATATAGCACAGTTATTGTGTATGGCCATACACCCAAAGCGATTTACAATCATGAGGGGGGTCTCTCCACCACCAGTGTGTAGCATCCACTTAGATGATGCGATGCCAGCCACAGGACAACGGCGCCAGTGCGCTCAGCACACACCAGCTATAGGTGATAGAGCCATTTCAGTGAATGGGGATGATTTGGAGGCCATGATCAGTAAGGGCTGATGGGGAGAATTTGGCCAGAACACGAGAAGTGCCATGGGATTTTTACTGAACTCAGAGGGTCAGGACCTTGCTTTAACGTCTCATCCGAAAGATACGCTCACTGACAGTATAGTGTCCCCTTCATTATACTGGGGCATTAGACCATAGATGAGAGCACCCTGCTGCCCTCACTAACACCACAGCAACCTAGTTTACCCATGTGGTCCAGGTACTAACCAGGCTCAGCCCTGCTTAGCTTCAATGAGTAACCAGTCTTGGGCTGCAGAGTGATATGGCTGTGGATAAACATTCAAAGCCTCCCGTTGGTCACTTCCGCCTAAATGGATCAACAATTTTTTTTTTCATGCCACCTCATACTTATTTTTTTTTCATCAAATCTTGACCAATAAAATGCTCTCTAGTATCAGATATGCTCCACATTCTTTTGCTTTTCAGTTGATGTGCTTGATCAAGCACTCTCACTGGCAGAGCTGTGATGCTATTAGATGGTTTTTAAAAAGAGATGCTCTATGTTACACCCTCTCTTCATGTTTCACTTGAAATTACGTCAAACATCGAATAGAGAGACGCACATTTAACTTCACGGGAACTTTACATTTTTGGGTGAACTATTTTTTAAGACACCAGCAACCTACAAAGTGTGTAAACTGACAGAATTAATCTATTCTAATCCTGAAATATGCAAAATGTTGAACTCCTGTTGAATCATGCATACTTGTTCATCAATGAGCTCTCACCTTGGAGACTAAGCAAATTTGTGCATTGGCAGGACAGCTTTTCTGTTTTCCTGCAGATGCTTTCTCTCAGCAACAGCCTGTTTAATGAGGCGCAACAGAAACGCTGGCAGATCTGAGGTCAGGCCTTTTTGACATTTCACTTTTTACTGCTAATGATAAAGCACCTGTGTCACACCTCTAATGAATGCTAATGTTCACACAGACACCAGCTCAGCAGAAATCATTATTATGTGAGGGTCAAAAGCTTTACAGTAGTTCAACCAAACATAAAAATTGAATCCGCCACTTACCCACGGAGTTAAATTAAACCTGTATGAAATAAATGAAGATATTCTGACTGGTGTATTGGTGACCATTGACTTCTGATGTACTGATACAGTCATCTGAGTGGAAGCAGATGGAATTAAATCAGTATCTCTAAACTTTCCCACAGTTTTTACTGCTAAAAAATTAAGCTATGTTGTTACTTAAAACAACAGCAAATCATTTGAATCATTGTTTGAAATAAAGATGGAATAAATAATGAAAACTTTAAACATTTCACAAAAATGGTAACATTATTATAACAAAATATAACATATAATATTGTTATATACTACATTATGTTTATATAATGTTTTTGTTATTAACAAATAAATTAACACAAAATTAATAATGAACTGATTTCAAGGAGAAAAAAAACTAAATATAGGACTGAATAATTACAATAATAATGGGCTATATGCACAGCTAGTGTTTTTCAGCCAACTTCTGTTAAAAAATGTATGTGACTATTTACAATTTCATAAGGTTCCTTTTACAGCATGGATTTTGTAATGTAATTTAAATATAATCCGCTATGCAACCATTTGGTTGTTAAAGCATAAAAAGAGATGAAAGAAAGTTTAAATGCAGGTGCCATCATTAGCAGCAGGCTACAATAATAAATATAATAATAAAAATACATTACCATATTTTAAAAGACATGGCGTAGAAAAATAGAATTTAATGCAGTGCTTCTTGTTTGGTCTGATACCTACTTTATATCATATGTCAGCAAGGCAGTGAGGATCGCCGTTTTTTAAAGAAATCAGATCAAATGCAGCGATTTTGTATGGGATGACAGTTCATCGGAAGCCCTTGGGCAGGCGGACTGAAATTAAAAGTCTGTGTGCATATACCCAGAGGTACGTAAGTACCAGTAAGTATATCAAAGTTACATTACTGGTACTTACTTATAATAATTATTGTAATTATTCACTCCTATATTATTTTTTTCCCCTAAAATCAAATCTAAATAGTAAATAGATAATACTAAATCAACACCAGAATTCACACAATATAATATAATAATATATAATATAATATAACATAATATAATAATACATAACATAATATAATTAACAATATATAACAACAATATATAATATAATAATATATAATATAACAATATAATATATAATATTATATAATAATATAATATAATTAGTTGTGGTAATACATTATTAATTTATTAATTTTAGTGACAAAAAAATATATGAATAAAGGACTGAATTAATGAAATATAAGGTTTTGAACTTTAATACTGAAACTTTAATATCTAAAACTTGTATGGATCAAGGTCTCAGTTCTGACATCATTTTTAAATATTAATAAATGCGATAACAGTATATAAATGATACCAAATCAACACTGGAATTCACAGGTCGCAAAATAAAATAAAGCTGGATTCAGCTCAATGTAAAAGTGTGTGCGTGCAGGAATTAGTTTTGTGTGTCATGACTGCCCTCTGCTGGTTACAGTACACATCTTCACTAAAGAAACTTGAGAACAAAAACAATTTTACAGGTGTCAAAAAAACATTTAATTTTCCTTAAGAGAGAGAAAGACAGAATTACAGCAAACATTGATTCGGTCAGGTTAAAGATAACCAATAAATAACTGGCCATGTTAATATCCATTCAAAACGTTTTTTCATCTTTTTTAACATAAAACAGTGAATCAAGTCACTATTTGTGGAGTGAGTGAAGACAATCTTGTACATCTTTTGTATTTATTATTAATTTTTAAAAGCCTTCTGGTAAACTCATCGATTACGATTAACTGAGCTCTGGCAGTAGCTTTTAGCCACTTTTTAATTTCCCTTTTCATAGACAGTTTGTTATACAAATTGATGAGTGCCATTAAAAAAACAGCTTAATTTCGATTCCACTCAAATACTACATTATCTTACAAAACAGGGGCTCGTTTTAAACCTCAAAAGGACTGGGAAGAGTGAAACTGAAAGGAGAGCTTGTGAAGGCACCCTGTTATTGTTCCCTAAAAGGAAAGTGGTCTTGAGTTTGTTAAGTTCATTTGGCACGATATCAAAAGCACAGTGAGATCTGCCGTGCTCCTATTCATTCCTCAAAACCGTTAAATGCATCTGTAGAAAGTGTAAAAATGAGCAGTTTTAAAAATACAAGCGTCAGTCTCTCTATATATATCTTATATAATAATAGAATAATTATAATAATATAAACTCTTCTTTAAGTGAGCCGTTTGGTCCAAATGTACAGAACACGAATGTCGATTTTAAACACACACATAGTTATGTGGATTGATTCTTTCAACAAGGACTCAGCCTTGATTAGTGTCATAGAAAAAGATAGAGAAAGAGAAGGGGGTTATGAGGGTATGCGAGTGGTCCTTTAAGGGCACTTGTTGCAGTAATGTCACCTTTTCAGGGCAGACTGGTGTAGAGGGATGGCCGGATCTAGAAGTAGGGCACCGTGGTGAGTTTGTACCACTTGACTGTCTCTCGGCTGAGGTCAAAGTCTTTAAGGCAGAGGGTTATTCCTCCCAAATAGCAGTTCTCTCGCAGAGACTCGGCACTGAGCACACTGAGTTGAAGTTCCCTTTGCTTCAGTGTTTCCTTACTGTAACCGCTATACACCAGCTGCAGAAAGAGACAGAAGTGGAACTTCAGTTTTAAAGGTCACCTATGATGCAAAATCAACTCAATGGAAGCTGTTTGGACAGAACTGTGTGTAGGTGTAGTGTGTACACTGTCATATTAGAGTCATACAAACACAACAAGTTTCTTTTTTACATTTCCTGTTGTTAAACTAGAATCCAAATCCCAGTGACTATGAGGCCCGCCACAACGTGACATAGGAGAGCAGTTTCCCCCGCCCAATGAATTGACTGACAGGTCTCCATAGTAACATGTATAAACATGTAGGGTTGGGTATTGTTTTTTTTTTTTTTTTTTTTTTCCGATGCCGGTGCTAAATAAATACTTTTAAAACAATACCGGTGCCAAAACGGTGCCTTAACTGATACTTTTTAGCCACAAAATGATGGTGGATGACTCTACAAAAATCTTTTATTTGACAAAATCTTTTAAAAAATAATTTTAATAGAACAATATGATTAAAGTTTAAAGTAAACATCAATTCATATTTTATATATTTAAATTACATTAATACATTTCCCTTGATCATTTGTTGGTTAGCATAAATTTAAGATTTGCATTATGAAATTACATTAGCTTACTACTAACCCGTGGGGGGCGGGCAGGGGCCACGTATTTTATTTTACTATAGGGAGAATCGCCGACAACTTCGTCCAAACTACGTCTCACAGCCAAAAACACGTAGTATTTCTTTTGTCATTAACTACATAATGAGAAAGAAGCCTTTAATGGGGTAGAACATGTACATGTTTGCTCACCTGGGTTTAAAGGGAATTAGCCATTTCTCCCCAACTTAAGTTGATAATAAACTAATTTCTTTCTGTATAAAACGTCAAACAGACACGGTTCCTCCTGAGTCCTGTCAAACCTCCACTAGTTTTTCCTCCATTTCGTGGGTCCAAATAAACCGAAAAAGAGCGCTTTTAACTTCTCCCCAGCCTCCCGCTGGCCTGCAGCAGGTATACACACACGCACACTCAAGTGAATGCTGCTCTCTCATTGGCTGTAGGCGATGGCTGATGTTATTTTCAGTCAAAACTCAATTCACACGGCATGATTTGAATCGCCGACAGCTCCAGATATTTAGCACGCCAAATATCTCACAGGCATCGGCGACTCATCGGCGATTCTCTCAGATCGCGTCTTTGATCGTTCATACTGTGTGATTGTCACTCACGTGCACGAGCAGCGATTTGCCTGTGATTTCAGGCATTTGTCGGCGATTTCTCAAAACCTGTCGGCGAGCCAAAATCGGGGCTAAAATCACGCAGTCTGAACTAGGCATAAGTCTAAATTACACTTTAATCTTAATAAAAGACTATAAGATACTTAAAGGGACTTTGTCTGAATATAATTGTTTTGTAAAATAACTAGTAAAATGTTATGCACTGTCAACATGGGGAAGATAAGAAAGCAGAGGGAGCGCATGCCCAAGGGAGCAATTGCACGTGACACCTAGAGCACGCGAGAGAGGCATTCCTCTGCATTTGAGCCCTCAAATGTGTCATTAAGTTTGACATGTTTCCCCCTTACACACAACTTTTGTAGAGCACATTGCTGTGTCTGAATCCTTGCTTGTAAAATACGCTTTAGAATGCTTATTTTGAGCAAATTTGATGAACATGCTCATGCGTGTTGATCTGAAGTGTGTCAGTCTCGCTCATCGAAAACCAGGCTGAATGCGCTGTACTGCGCGCGTTGCGTGCGTCTAAGCAACAATAACAATTGCCTGATATCGACTGTCAGTATTCGTCAAAGTTGTTTGGAATTAAATGTTTAGTGATGGTGTGACACAACGCCTATGTGTGCCTTTCATGCACCCGTTTGATGCTTCTTACGTCTTTGTCCCAGCACCGAAATTAGGCACCGAAATTCATATGCTGATTTGATCCAGTACATACCGGTTACCAAGGTAGCGGTGCTATAATAGCACTGGGTTTCGGTACCCAACCCTATAAACAGGGTTTGTACAGAAACTGGATCAAAAAGATCTGTTCCAACTCTCTGTGATCAGCTGCACGTTATGATGAGTTTGACTAGTTTAAAAAGTTTTTAAAACAGCGCATGTTTGTAATAACGTAAAAACAGTAAAACTACAGTTTATTTTGAGGTTAAAATGGGCATATTCTGAAAATAATCTGATGTTTTTGTGAGTCGAAACATTAGACACATTCTGGAGACACCAAAGGCTTATCTTACATCTTGTAAAAGGGATAAAATAGGAGCCTTTTAAGGACTACAATGATCCAATACTGTATTTTCTGGAATATAAACAACTTTTTTTATTATCATCGTGCTGCAGCTTACTGTATATTCAAAAGTTGCTTAAACTGCAAATTAATAGCAAGCAAACAAAACTGCATAGTGTACAGATTTATATTTCTGTGAAATGATAAACATAGTTTTCTGTTTAAATTAACACTTTCAGGGTTTTTAGGGTTCATAATAAATGTGGTTATAATAAATCCCATTGTAATTTCTGTTGGTTTTATAATTTCAGGCTGTGTTGCCAATAATTGGGTTTTCTCTAATTATATTATATTGTAAAAAATTATTTGAATTAGTTATATTTATATGGTTGCATTGAGGCATTTTTTACTCTAACTTTATATTCTACCAATGTTAAAAAATATCTAATATATAGTTAATGTAAAATTATTTCCGAAGTTTGAGGTTTTCTTCTGATAAGTTATATATACAGTTGAAGTCTGAATTATTAGCCCCCCTGTTTATTTTTTGTCGCCAATTTTTGTTTGACAGAGAGCAGATTCTTTCAATACATTTCTAATCATAATAGTTTTAATAACTTATTTCTAATAACTGATTTATTAGATTTAAATCTTTGCCATGATGACAGTTAATAATATTTGACTAAATATTTCAAGACACTTTTATACAGCTTAAAGTGACATTTAAAGGAATAACCAAGTTAATTAGGTTAACTAGGCAGGTTAGGGTAATTAGGCAAGTTATTGGATAACGATGGTTTGTTCTGTAGATTATCGAAAAAAAAAAAATAGCTTAAAGGGGCTAATAATTTTGTCCCTAAAATGTTTTTTACAAAATTAAAAACTGCTTTTATTCTAGCCGAAATAAAACAAATAAGACTTTCTCCAGAAGCAAAAATATTATTAGACACACAGTGAAAATTTGTGAATAGTAAATATATATGAATAGTAAATTCTGTTGAGAAAATCCATGTAATGTATAATATTTAATAATTAATTGTTCTCATTTAAACATTATTTTGTATTTCCTTATTTTTTTTTTTTTTTGCATGTACGCTCACAAGGAATTCCATTTTGGAATTAAGAAAGAGCAAATCCACTTTTTGAATTGCTAAGTGCAATCCTTTTGACACTGAAATATTCAAAGCACGTTAACCATGAACATGAGGAAATAAGGTAGGTTAGCTTACCATTTCATTAAATGTTGGGTTCCTTGTCTTCCTCGCAATCTTTGTTTTGCGTTTGGAAGTTTTGTGGGGGTCTGGGAGAAGGTATGTTTTCACATAAGGGTTTGGGTCTGCTCCGTCATTGGACATCTGGTTTTAGGGAGAAGAACAGATGAGATTTTGGAAACTAGAGTCTTCTTGAAGACAGAAGCTTGTGCTATTTCTCACCAGGTCTTTAATGTGCATGACCATGATGAAAAGTGTGCTGTTTCTGTAGGACACTGACAGCTTCACCTCACCCTCCACACGGCCTGTGGTGGGACTCACTGGAGGCATGTCTGAAAAACAAAAAACAAAATTTTATTGTAAATTTTATGACAGAAAACAAATGAAAATTAAATTTTAAAATAACCAAAATATCAAATGTGTTTAAAGAAAAGCTTTAAAAAAAACATTAAAATAATAATAATCAATCAAATTCAGTCATTGTTTACCCACACTGCTTCAATGATGTGATGTGCTAATCCATATAATGACAGAATATCAACAACCAATAAGCTTTCTAAAACATATATAATAAAAAATAATAATAAATGATAAATAAATAGATTAACATATATACAGTATATGTTATCATAAAGTATTAATCTAAACTTTTCACTTTTTTTGCACCACATTTCACTCTGACTCACCCTGAAAAAAGCACACAGGTTGTGAGACAACAGAAAAAATAGAAATTAGACACACACACACACAAAAAACCTTCTTCTCTGAGGTAAACATATCCGTTGTGTTCACTGTAGCAGCAAGTTGTCACATTCATTTTTCGACTGTTTGGCATAAAAAAAAAATATTTAACTCTGTGATGGAATTACTTGGACACATTTTGGGAGGATTTTTTGGCCATTACAACCCAGGGTTTTTTTAATGTAAAGGCAATGCGCTTCTTTGCTGTTTCTGGGTGAGAAAAAGTGAACCACAGTGCTAATAGCTTGTTTTTCAACAAAACTCATATAATTTCAAAAACAATTAACAATACATAGTGTGCAATTAATTCAATAAAATAAATGCAACTAACCATGCATTGCTTGGAATATTTTTTCATACTTCTATTACTTACACCAAATATTTATAAATAAATTACGAACATATCTCATTAATACAAACTCATTTTGTATTTAGTTAGTCATGATTAAGCATTAAATAGCACAAAGTAATGACTGAATTTAAATATTTGTTTGAACTATGCCTTGAACAGATGACCTGAGTAACTTCAACTAAGACTTGGTGTACATACCTGGAGTTTTTGATAGGGTATCAACCCCTTCAGTCTTGTCATCTCTTGCGATAGGGTGGAAGAAGGTGTAGATCAGATCACACTAAGAAATAAACATTTTTGATTAGATAATATAATAATATTTGTATATTAAATTAATAACTGAATTAACATTTAATTATTAATCATTTCATTATGTACATTTTTTTAGATATTTTTTTCATTTGCATAGTTATGAAAACTGTTTAAAATAAATAGTTTTTCTAACTTTATTTAATAATTAATCCTAAAAATAGTAATATATTTGTACCAAAAAAAGAAGAAAAAAAATGCTGACCAGTGATAATACATGAAAACATTTAAATAAAAAGTAATAAAGCAACATGTTTTCATAAAAAGCAAAAATGTACAAATGTAACACTGACAAAGCGTAAACAGTTTTATTTCACTTAATATTAAATTAAACATCCGATTACTAGACCCATATGGAATCTGCACATGCAGAAATATGCAGATTTTAGCCAATCATTGAGTCTATTAATTTACTTCTGTAAATGTGTGTAAATATATATTTATTCAGTTTTTATATTCATTTCTGTAGTAATATTTTTTTTATACGCTTTTAGTTATGATACTCCCTAAAACATTCCGCATAAATCTGCAGATTTTTTTTACAAAAGTCTCTGCAGAAATAGCAAAAAATGTCCACAAATTCTGTCTGGCCCTACCAAATACCCACCTGGGCGACCTCTGTTGAACTCCTCATCAGATTGTGCACATAACTATTCAATTCAACCTTTCTCTTGGATGCCACATCCTTGATGTGTGTGCGTCCCAGCACCATCTTACTGGGAAACCTATAAAAGAAGAATATTCTTAGGAAGACAGAGTATTTGACAAATCTAGCAGTATTTGATGAATCTGGCACAAATGGTAAATTTACATACCCTGGCAGCTTCCACAACTGAAAAAGGATGGTCAATTTGTTGTGCAATTCCTGAAACTCATCAAATGTGCGGAAAACAAACTGTGGCTCGCTCTGACCTTCCCTTAGAATCCGAATGACATACGTCTAAAAACAAAAAAACATAAGAAATCAGGTGAATTTTTATTAATTGTTTGAACATGTTAAGCGTTTATTACACACTGAGTTGTAAGAAAATATACATTGCACATCACAAAATGTATATTTTTTAAGAATGTTTTATTTAGTACTATACTAGAATTTAGATGTGCTTACATAGTGCTTGTCTGGGTTATATCTCTTTTGAAATGAAAACACAGAGGCGTCCCGAATCTTGCCGTCTTGCTTCATAGTGTATGTCCGAGGAGCAAACGACAGGATGGGTTCATCATTGGAGGGAAGGCCAGAGAAACGCAACTGAGCCAGATTGTGGATAAAGAAATTAAACTTTGTAGCCACACTGCCCAGACTGGATTCAATCAACCTACAATGAAAAACGGAGAGACAGATATTTTTAAACCCATCTAAAGACTGACATATAGTATACTGTAAAATGTATATCATTTAGATTCACACCCACTTGCTCCAGTGGTTCTGAACTTTCCATTTCTTTCTTCTGTTGAGCACAAAACAAGATATTCTGAAGAATGTTGGAAAGCAGCAGCCACTGACATCCATAGTAGGAACCAAAAAATACTATGGAATTCAATGGCTGCTGCTTTCCAACATTCTTTTCATGCTCAACAGAAGACAGAAACTCAGGCCCTGTTTACACCAATACGTTTAAGTTTTAAAACGGCGTTTTAGAATGAATACGATCCGCGTCCACGCTGGCGTTTCATCTAGCATTTCTTAACAGCTCTTAGTCTACACTACACCGTTGAAAACACATCATGAATCACATGACCATACATGCACTCTGGCATGCCCTGAAAGCTGCTTCAGTGTATTCTTGCATCCGAGCTACAAGCAGTCAGCGGGAGCTCTGAGCACACCTGCCTGGCTGAGAGCAGTCGAACGTCAGCCAGTCCATCCCGAATCTGCGGTTGCATCTCATCTCTCTAAAGCTGTTTAACGTGATGTATAATTCATCTTGTGTAGTCTAACGAGTCTGTCTTTTAAATCTATTAGCTGACTTGTAAATATTTTGGCTGAGTGTATAAGTTAATAAACCTATAAATTTCTGTAACCACCACGACCACGTACACTGATATTGTGTGCATATAGCCTGACATTAAGCACATATTGCCAAAACCACACAGTGAGCCCAATGTTTCATTTTTTTCAATGACAATGAAAGGATGCAGTCATCAGGCTCCGTTTTGTTATAAATTTGCATACAGTGAAGATGACGGTCATATAAATATGTACATGATGCCTTAACATTTTTTCTGTCTGTTATGTTTAAGCTGTTAATATAAAAATTAAAAGAAACAGTGCTTTAAGTCATGTTTTCATTTTATTGTTAAGATAAGTGAAATGTAGCCATGGTTAATGACATTATAAAAGTACTGCCATTATATTTGAGGATTTACCCACCGACGCTTCCTTACATCCTCGGGAGTTTGTTATAAACTTGCGATCTCTGAACTTACAACAGTAGGATGCAAGACTGAACTTTGTGTACTTTATATTGAGAAAAAGCCCTAATCCATTTGAAGATGTCTCTTTTTTCCTCCATCCACACTGAGACGGTGCAGCAGCGTTTTAAAACAAAAACAGCCTCTTCAGTGTTTTCAAAATGCTCAGCATTTAGGGCTCAAAAACTCCGGTGTAGTGTGGATGGATGGTTTCAAAATGGATGGATGGTTTCAAAACTAAAACGTTTTATTGTAAACGGGACCTCATAGTGGTTTAGAACGAGTGAAGGGTGAGCAAAATGATAATGGAATATTAATTTGTGGGTGAACGATCACTGTAAGTCGCAAAAAAGTTCTATAAAAAGAGCATAATTCTACTTTATCTTAGTAGGAATCTACCTTGTGAAGAAAATGGTAGCCTCTGCATCTGTAGTCTGAGGCTGAAGAGCATCATACACATACTTCAAATCTTGGACTCCGGTCAGCTCGGGTAAACCTGATTGTGTCATCTGTGAAAAACATTAGCAAAACTAATCAATAAACAGGTCAGCAGGAACAGTCATGAATGACAAAACTGAGCAAACGGCTTCCTGTCATTAGTTGTGCAATAACGTGTTAGGAATCATACACAAGGAGAATGTTTACACATTGAGCATTCGTGTTGACACAAGAGCCTACGATGACACATGAATGACTGGTTTGTTTGGAGTGTGGTGCAGTATATTACCAGAGATAGCAGGTTGAGGAAGAGGTTGGAGTGTTTGCGGATCAGGTTGTAGGCTTGCGAGCAAAGGTCAACGAACAGCTGAAAGCGACTAGTGGGTCTTTCGCCTCCATTGATGACATAAGCCATGTCAGAGGTTAAGACAAACGGTGCTCGGTCCCTATAGGAAACAATTACGATACAATTAATAAAACTAAAAGATGCTACATAATGTGCCGTATTTTTAAATACTGTAACTTCTCATTCACCTTTTAAAACTCCCAATCATTTGTGCGTGACCCAGGAACTTCCCGAAGTCTATGTGGAACATGTGGCCAGTGGAGCGCAGCATGATGTTGTCGTTGTGACGATCGCAGATGCCGAGGATGTAAGTGGCCACACAGCATCCAGCACAGGTGTAGATAAAATTCTCAGACGCCTGAAAAAAGATTTTGATTAAGTTTCAAATACCATTTCTACAGCACATAACACTCATCGGCCACTTGATTATGTTCACCTTGGCAGTACCTAGTTCAACCCGGTTAGGTTTTAAGAATTGCCTTAATAGAATAGTTCAAGAAAAAATAAAAATCAACCGATAATTTCAGGGTTCTCAAGACACATTAACCACAAGATGCACACATTTCAAGCAGTTCACATGCTCACACCTTGAATTTCTCACGCTAAGATGCAGTAGGTTACATAATTATTGAATTAGCAGTCTACCAAACGCAAAAGACTGATGCAACAAAGCAAAATGTAACCAACTAGTCTGAGTAATTAATATATATTTGTCGAAGTATACATTAATAAACCTCTAAAAATGTACAATAACTTAGTCAACATTTGAAGTGGATCTAATCCTTTCATCTAATTTGTCCTATAATTATTGAACAACCATTCTTGTCTAGAACAATTTTAAATATGTTTTTCGCTTTCACTACAAATTTTGACTATCGTATGGTAAATAAACAGTACTTAATAATGAACAAAAAATCCCTATTGGTGAGTTGCTCACTGTAATTTTAGAAAGTGGGTTAACATTTTTGTATGCAATTGTAAATATCAATATCATTTTTTTATTATTTGACTTTAAATTAGGGTTTTATTGATTTTTTTAAAATTTACAATTGATGGCAAAAAGGAAAGTTAGAAATGTAGTCCTTCTGTGGTTATTTTGGAGAAGCTAACTAAAACAATACAAAACCATTGCAAAGCATTACATTTCAGTAATAGGCTGTGTCTGAAATCGCCTACTACTCGAGTCGGTACTACATTTGAATTTAAATTTACTACATAACCGTTAGAAAAGTACATTCTCTATAGTATAAATGTGAGCATGAATGAAATCCGGACATACTACATGAGCCACGATCCCGTCATTAGTCATTATCATGTGATCTACCCGCATTAGTTTCGATGCTTCACTTCCATTCTCAATTCTCTTGCAGTGAATCATGGGATAGTCTAGCTTCCATTGGATGCGCATTCCAGAATCTTGCCGGAAGTAGGTCATTTGGGTATTTCTCACATTCAGTTTTTCGAATACTACGAATTTGGACATACTACTCGACTCGCATACCGTATTTTAGAGTATGAAAGTATTTAATTTTGGGTGCAACAATAGTGTGGAGCCATTTGAATAATGTGAACTTTTCAGACCAAGAAACCTTTTTCAAATCTTCATCATTCAATTTTGATGAGGAGTATAGATTTTAGCCTGATTTTCTATCAGTTTGAAGAAGCCTGGCCATTCTTTTTTGACCTCTAACATCAACAGAGCAAACAGAACTGAGGCTCACTGTATAATTAGCTTTTTTTGACCATTCTCTGTAAACCCCAGAAATGGCTGTGCATGAAAACTCCAGCAGATTAGCAGAGTTTGTAAAATACTCACTCAAACCAGCCCATCAGGCATCAACAACTGTCACATTTAAAATCACTTAAATCACCTTTCTTCCTCATTCCCATGTTCTCTTTGAGCTTCAGATGATAATCTTGATTACGTCTACATGGCTAAAGCAACAGAACTGCTGCCATGTGATTGACTAGATTTGCATTAAACAGGTGAACCTAATGAAGTGATCTGACTAAAGATACCAATGGATTATTATGCAGTCTAAAACGTTTAAATGTACCTTCTCATACTCATCCTCAGCAGGGTTATACTTGCGAAGCCACTCAGCAAGAGGTTTGTCCTTGAAGGAACCCGTCACTCCATACTCCACCTGAATCTTTCTCAGCGTTTCAGAAGATGGTACCAACTCCACCATGCCTGCGTCAATTAACAAAAAAAAGAACCCATAATATGAGAAATAAATTAACCTATCATGTTCATATTTCATCAAAAACTCATAATTATGTTTGCATGCCTGTTATCAACATTCTCTAGAGTGCCTTTAGAGGTCATGGGAGTGAGGTTTACCTACAATAATACATTTATTTCATATAGCCCCTATAAAAGTTAGTTTCTCAAAGCGCTTTCAATACAAATCAACACAACATGCATACAAGATACTAAAATGATACAACAAACCCTAAACAAAGTTAAGCAAACATTTAAAAATTAGCAAGAGACTAATCATCTAAAAAGAAAAATGCCACCAATTTTTAAAAAGTGAGTGTAAATGCTATTCAAATACTGTTTCTATTTAATAAGAAATCATAAGATAAAATAAGGAAATCCTTGAACATTATTCATTATTAAAGTTTCTTAAACATCAAATCCACATATTTCTGAAAGATCATATGACGGCGATGGTGTTAATTTGTTCTTGATATTGGTGGGGACATACATCCCTAGTACATGCATTAAACAGCACAAATTCTGTTTAGCGCTTTTAAAAACTTGTATAAATCAACTAATAATATAAAATAAACACTTAATACAAATAATAATCCCGTCTCATGCTCCAAAAGTCCCTCCGACCAGGCCAATTCCACACCCTTGTATGACGCTGAAATCAAGTATAATTTCTGGTGACAAAGCTTTAGTAAATAAATGATATATTTATATTTGAATGGAAATAAACAGAAAACTTATGTTAAATTAATATTTTGTCATATTATAAATGCAAATAAATGCAGCTTCCAGCAGATAAACAAAATTCCTACTGACCTCCAAAATCGTGTACTGTAAATTATTTTAGTATTTAAATATATAACAATTGTATCCTACTTGTGCTCCGGTTTCCCCCACAGTCCAAAGACATGTGGTACAGGTGAATTAAGTAGGCTAAATTGTCCGTAGTGTATGAGTGTGAATGAGTGTGTAGAAATGTTTCTCAGAAATGGGTTGCAGCTGGAAGGGCATCCGCTGCGTAAAACATATGCTGGATAAGTTGGTGGTTCATTCCGCTGTGGCGAACCCAGATTAATAAAGGGACTAAGCCGAAAAGAAAATGAATGAATGAATGTATCCTAGTTGTCAAATGTAAATTTGGTAGAGTGGAACATACCTTTATCTTTCCCAGTAGAGATGCATTTAAAGTTAACAATACGCAGGTCGAGTCCTTCCTGAAGCCAGATCCGATCCATAATCCGAATCATCTGTAGTGCCAACATGTCCTGCCGCAGGTCTTCTCCAACCTAAAACACAGATATATAAAGATTGAGTTGGTGAGAGATCAAGCATTCATCAAAAAAACTAAAAGAAAGAATTTCTAAAATGACGAAGCAGAAATTACTGTCAAAAGACATAATACCATTTTCATATAATACTATAATAGTCATAATACTTTTTCTCTTAATGTTTGTGTTTACACTACTGATAAAACCACTAGAGGGCATGCTCATGAGATGAGGATTTAAATATTTTTTCTTTTCTATATATTTTTTTCAGAGCGGCCTACTTTCAAAACTTCAGTCAATCATGCATGTTTAGAGTTTGAGTTTAATAGATGATCCCACCATAGCAATTAATATACAAATAACCCAAATGCTGTGTAACTACTGTCAAACTAACATAATAGTCCATTCTACCTACAGAGGACCTTTAACACACCTTAAACATGACGTTAATCTCATCTCCCAGCGGATCTGCGTTAACCAGTGCGATCTTTAGAGGTACAGCGTTGGAATTGAAAAAGGAGCAGACCTAGTTTCAAAGCAAAGGAATGAAAACAAGAACCACATTACAAAAGCATCAGCCTGAGGGTTTTAGATTCAGATTTTCGGATTCAACATGGTAACACAGAGGGTCTTTGAAAATAAAGGCAGCCCTGACTGAAAGAAAAGGAGTTCAGAGACACCGTTAAGGCTTCGCTGACTGTGCAGATCGCTATATCTGAAACAGGAAGAGAGGGGGAGTGAGCAAGGATAATATGGAAGTGAATCACATGTGAATGTTTCTCAGCAAAGCGGAACACAATCTGGCATGAGAACTAGAGAATTCAGCCTCCTAGCTGTGTGGATCTTGAGAACCAATAAACATTTCCTGAACACTATAAGAGTTGTGCAGAAATTATGTAAATTTAGAAAGAATGAGTTTCCTTGAGATTTTCTTTATAGGCTTTTATAATGGGAGCTTTCAGTTAATGAGTAATACAAAAGTCTCAGTTAAACATAACTTGAACGGTAGTTGAATGTTTGTTCTACAACATAAACTGCACTGACGTTTCTCAAATGTTCTGATCTAGTTACTTATTAAAAACATAGGTTTAATAAAAATGTTTAATCAAAATTAACGTTCTGGATATGAGTGTAGTTGTGTGTTATTTCCCATAACTAAAGTTTTCAGAGTTTTTGTTTGTTTTGTTTTATTTGTATCTTTGGATATTTTTTACCAACATCAGGGTCCGTTCTTCGAACCTCTCTTAAATGATCCAAGAGGATTTGACAGATCCTGGATCTCTTAATTTTGATAACTGATCTCTGGCTTATTTGGTTTTTCAAACAAGTTTGCGAATCAGATAAAAATGTCTGGATCAACTGATCTGAGATCACTGCGTGTGTTGTATAGGACAGATCTATCTATGATCAGCAATGTAAATGATTGGTTGACGGCACAGCCATCAGCCAGAGTCATGACATCATTTGATTAATATTCAATTATCCATGAGCAAAATTACATAAAACTCGTAGTTTGTTAAATATGATACAAAATAACTTTTCAGATTTGTTGTGGTCTGCTGTCTTTACACTTTCATGTGTCATGAGTATTTAATTTATTTAGTTTTACTTTTAGAGCAGATTTTCTTTATTATAGTAGCCTAGGCCTGTTCAAGTTGCTTAATCTGCATAAGGAATAACTGGCTGTTTAAAATAATTTTGCATCAAAAAAATTTTATATTAGTAAAGGCATCTGCAACTTTTGCGAAGCATCAACACACCATCATATTACCTTTCAAAACATGTGCATGACTGTATAAATTACTATTCCTTTAAAAAATAGTATGTATGTTTATTATCATACACAAATTATACTAAATATAGAACCTTAAAATCGCATGAGTTTGCATCTAATAATTATATTATTATGGTTATTATACATATTAATAATACATTAATAATTAATATAGATTATTATACATATTAATAAATTTTCTCTTTGAACCCCTTGGGGAGAACCACCCCAGTCTCAGTAATTGTACTTTTATTTCGGAGTGCAGTTTTATTTTACTTTTTTTTATTTTATGTATTATTATTTTTTATTTATTTATTTTTTGCTATATATTTATATAATTTAAATATTTACTATTTTCCCAAGTGTATTTAACTACTACTGTAAAAAAAATATTAGCATTTGGTACATACTTTCAGTATTACCTTTTCTTGAAAAGACCCAATCTAATCCTGTTATACTGTATAAAATGAGCCTGCTTCCGAGCAGGTTTGAGCTACCAGAACTGTTTGACATCAACTCTCAGATAAGTTTTGAAGAACGAAACGAAACGATCCTGGATCATGTCAAATCGTCAATAACCAAATCCAGCTAACTGAGTAATCCACATACGAAGAACAGTCCCCAGGTACAATTTAATGTCAAAAGATCCTTCACAAATATATTTATCAGCAAAAACAATGACTCGTTCTACATTTATTTGACTAAATTTCAAACTTAAAAAGCTGTAAAAATGTTAAAGTATTGTCAATTTTTGCTTACTACAGACATTACATTACTCAAACTGAAAAACCATTAAAAAAACTCTAAATCTCTACATTATTTTTCAGTTTCATTTAAACAGCTCTCTATACTGAAATAACAGGTTGATCAGGGTCAGTTTGCACTCACCTTGATATTGAGCTCTTTTGCCACCAGACTGGGGCTAATAGGGAGTCGACAGCTGTTCTTCTGGAAGAAAGACTGAACCCTCTCTAGACCCTCGAGGAGAACCACCTAAAAAGAACAAACACTGAGATTGAAAAATGAAGCAGCGCAAGACTGCATCTGGATTTCCTCAACCATAGAGCACCACAGAGACGATTAGAAAACAAAGGCTTTTAAATAAAAAATAAAAAAAAAGCTAAATATTCTTAATTCTTGTTTTGATTTAGGTCACCAAGAAATGTGAACTTACACATGCACACAGTGTGTGGCAATTCAAATCCTTGACATTTACAATACAGTATAGTTGAGCAATATTACAAAATCAATAACAGATATGATATTGATTACAAGAAGTTAACATTTAACGTTAACTGTTAACAAGAAGCTGACTTCTGAAATCCAGAAGAGAAATGTTAGTGCATCTGAGCAACACTTCTTTCTTCAAGAAAAATGACTTTAAATGAAAAGTGTGAAAAGAAGTCCTTTCTCGTGTCTAAATGAATGACCATTTGGAAGACATTTTTTGAATTAACAATTCAATCAATCACTCATTAAAAGAGAGACTTGCCACCACATATTGGCTGATTTTGTGTCCCATTTTACTAATATACCAATTTATCTACACATTTATCAAATATACACGTTTATCTAATATGTACTTTCACTAAAATTATCATGTTAGAATGTACAAACTGTGTAAATACATGCTTTTACTTTGTACTGATGAATTGATGATTTATTACCTGCATGTAATTACATCGGTAATTACTTTCTTTAAATACATTTGTAATTACACCGTTGACCCACCCTTAAACCTACCCATTCTACCAAACCTGTCCCTAACCCTACCTGTATCCCACTACAAGAGCACCAAACATCTTCTGCAATACGTTATTAAGTACATTGTATTGTACAATGCCCCCCTAATAAAAAGTGGGACTAAATGTTTTGTACAATGAAGTTGTAAAATTAAAAACAACACTTTGCGCTTTTTTACTATTGCACTTCATTATTGTTAGTTTTTGTTTGCAGAAAAAAAAAATTTATTCCAGGCATTGAAAAACAAAAATCATTGAATAGAAATCCAGTGACTTCAGACAATGAAACGGGAAGTACAAAAACATTCAATAGTTTCTTGGAGTCATTTCCGGAGAACTCCATTTAGCCAAGACAGACAAAGAAATAATGCAATAAAATGTGTTTACAAGTTTAGTAATTAAAAGCTTTCCAGAGCTATCCATTTGTATTTAAACCACTTATACACATGGGAGACATAAGTTGAGGCACTATAGGACCAAAAGTATGTGGCCCACCCCCTTCTAATAGCATGCTTGGCACAATCCTTTAATTCCAGGCAAGACAGATCTTAATGCTACAGAATACAATGACACTCTTGAGAATTACGCATATCCCACTTTGTGGCAGCCATATGGGAAGGACTGTTTTCTATTCCAAAAAGAAAGCACAAAGTCAGATGCTAAGCAATTTACTGGACTCTTCAAAACACAAGTCTAAACACATTTGGAATGATGCAGATAAAGTGCTGTCGTGAATGGTTCCAATTTCAGAAATAATGGTTAAGTTTAAGGTATGCTGTATTGTGCCTGAGGGAAATTTGTTTCAGGATCTAAGGTAAATGTACCAAATCACATAAAAACAAAACATTAATTTTACATAATATTTTGTGCTGAGCAAAGATTATTCATTCATAAATTTTTCATTCAGCTTAGTCCTTTATTTATCAGGGGTCACCACAGCAGAATGAACCGCCAACTTTTCCAGCATATGTTTTAAGCAGCAGATGCCCTTCCAGCCAAAACCCAGTACTGGGAAACACCAATACACTCTTGCACTCACACATGCACTCATAAACTACGGCCAATTTAGATTATCCAATTCACAGATAGCCGATATATATATATATATATATATATATATATATATATATATATATTTAGATATTTATTTAGATAGATATAGATATTTAAACTTCCACATAAGTTGTTCTGATATCCATTTATATCTAAATATAAATAAGGTGTCTCTTAAATATATGCATGCATGTGTGTATTTATGCATACTTAAAATATGTGTGTGTGCTGTGTATATTTATTAAGTCAAAACAAACTTTTATTTTGGATGTAATTAAATAACAAATTTTTGCCCAGCACCAATAATATTATTAAAACTGCAGTTCTCTAATAAAATTCTTGACATGTCTGTATAGGTGTGGCATTTGGGTTGCCATATATTTGACATATAGAGTATCCTGCTAAGTTAACATGATATCAGTATTGACTGGATGAGGCATATGGTTCAAGGGTTCATCCACTGATCCAAAAATCAGTCACGCTTGTGAGAAAAATACTTGTAAATGTTTTGCTTGAAACTTTGTTGAAACCCCAAAGAAAAGAAAAACGCAGAAAAGCAAACATGAGATTCCTGATATACTTATGCTTATGTTTATTCAGATCATGTTTTGAACAGCATTATTCAATTAGATTTTGGAACTAGGAGCAATTTAGAAATTGTTTTTCTTGTTTCCCAGAAGTCTTTGGTTTGGACTCCTCAGTATATACTGGTTATAAAAAACTAAAACAACAAAAAAGCAGCAAATCTATTTAAAAAAAATTGTTGAATATTCTATTCATCAAAATCAACACCAAAAAAGAATAAATAAATAAAAAGCACCAAAACAGTATATCAGAACCTAACTTTTGAACAGTATTGTAGACATGTAAATGTTAGAAATAACATTACAAAATACAACCACAATTCCCACATTAATTGTAGAGTAGACCTGGTTTACCTGTCGGGTTGAGCTGCTCGCCTGCCGAACCTTTTCAGCCAGAGCTCCAAGCAGCTGCACAAGTCGGGTCTGCTTCTCCAGCTCAGCCCTCAGTCCGGTCCCACACAGACACAGCAGCACACAGAGGATCCGCTCATAACGCTGACCAAACGCCGGGTCCTGCACTGCATCCCTCAGCAGCCTATGCACAAATAGACACCCAGTAAATGTGAAAATCAACAAGGACTCTTACACTAAAAACAGTATGACTTCACTGTGTAATATTACATAATTTAACACCAAAATTATTTTGTACTTCATTTCTTTCATCAGTTTTGTTCTTCTGTTGAAAATCTATGCAATTTAAACATTTACACAATGTAAAAGTAAGGAACAAAAATAAACAATACTGACAAACGTATTTCGAAGATTTATTCAAAGATTTTAAATGTTCGAAAGTTTTGATTTTGTAGACATTCAATATAGATTAAAAACAATTGGAATACTGAATCCTAATTTGCAATTTAAATCAAGTTTATTTATTTAGCACTACTTAAAACAATTATTGTTTCAAAGCAGCTTTACAAAAAGGTGCACATTATTGCATTACATTCAAAATCAGAAAGGTTAAGGCTATTCGTAACCATAACTTTAGTGACTAGTAACTAAATAGCTTTTACTGTTAAAGTTATTATATATAAACATAGATAACCTGCAGTTATGTAGTATACAGGTAATGTTTATGTGTACATGTTCAATAAAGTGTATTTGTGTATTAAGTGTATGTGTTGTCCTCAAAGTCTTCAATGGCTAGTATCATTTGCGTTTGGAAAGGTCAACTAAAATCTTTTAGGTACAATAGCATACATGTATACCATATTTAAAATAACAGCTTTATATTGTCTATAAAAGCAGGAAATTTGTTATTTATTTATTTATTTTTTTGAAATTGTAAAACTAACAATTATATATTTGAACGAAACTTTACCAGTAAAGATAATGTGCAATGTTGACATTTCCCAGAGCTCGAGACAGCAGAAACTTCACCAAGGCATTGTTAAGGTGACACTCGAACTTCACTGCCTGCAAACAAAAGCAGAAACCAGTTCAACTTACTTGATTAACTACACATTCATAAAAAGTGCACTTAATTGTACGGAATGCAAACTTAGAGTTTAATTCAAAGTATGACAATCTACACACAATTCTTTATGCAGAAAATATGAAAAAAAGAAGATACACTTTGACCGATTCTTAAATTAAGGCATTTTAATTTAGTGCTCAGTAGTATTGGCAGATTTAAAGTATATTTGAAACTATTTAGTTTAAATAAGTTAGTTAAAATAAGTGTATTTAAGTACTCATATTTAAAATTGTTGACAGCACATCGAGATCATATGCGCACCTCTGTTCACGTAGATCCACTGATGCGCGTGTATGCGTGCCACAGTTTTTTATTCATCCAAAGCTTATATAGATTTTTTTTGTTGTTACAAATGAGTTATATGCACTGAATTGTTGACCAGCCACTGAAATCTTCCGGCGAAAGATTGATGTGACTATTTTGAGTTTCATAAGGGACCTTATAAAGCATCCATAATGTAGATTGTCATTTAGTTTACCAACAAAAGTTCCATGTACACATTTTTTAATGTGTACATGGAATTTCGCCTGTGTTATGGTACCTTGTTGTAATTTTAGTTTCATTAATGGGATAATGAAGCTGAGTCTGAGTCTGAGTCAAAACAGAAATAAGTAGTGCTAAAAATGATCCACCACTTACTTGACAGATTTATACATTTAAAATTTTGGTGGTTTGTGTAATGCGTTTTATGTTTGGTAAAATACATTTTAACTGCATCTTTATTGATTTTCAGCTAATTACACTGTCTTGTTCTAAAAGGTGGATTTAGAGGTGTTTGCAAAAAAAAAAAAAAAAATGCACTCGTGAATTTAGCTGGTTTTGACAAAAGAAAATCTACCTTGTTAAAAACCAAAGAATTGTCTAAAGTGACATTTATGAAAAAAAGCTATTTTATTTACTAGCTGATAACCTTATCTATAAAATGAAACATATGAACCTAATTATAGGAGCCTGATAGAAAATGCTTATTTACAAGATAAAAGTTCAGATGGATTTAGAGGGTTTTGCATCTGAACTCTTTATTTATTTATTTTTTTTCACAAATGAAAAATTTGAAGTGTCCTTTAAAATTAGGGATGGAGTTTGAGTAGGGAGACAGAAAATACAGTTTTTACAGTATAAAAGAAGTCAAGTTAAGCTTTATTGTCATTCAACTACATGTGTCTCGCAGTACAAAGGTGCTGAATAAATTAATTAATACAAACACAACATTGGACACAAAAGCTAGTTTAAAAAACCTAAACAACTGACATTTACTTTAAGATACTTAACTAAACACACAAGACAAGTACATACACATACTTTTACATAAGAATGAACAATGTTGTGCAGGACATTGTGCAGGAGAGGTATTAAAGTTGAATATTGGTATTAAAGGTGTATAATGGAAATCTATGGAATGTCTCCTAAAATAAAATGAAAAAACAACATGTGTGTTTGTGTTTGTGTGTGTGTGTGTGTGTGTGTATACCTGCACTAGCTGGGGGAGATAATCAGCCAGCTCATCATCACTGCTGCTCTGGATCCAGCTCACAGCCACTTTCCTCACCTCTGTGTCGGCAAACCTACAGCAAACCAGTCATAAAGCAGGTTATAAAACCAATAAAGTGGTCAAAAGTGGTCACAAGTTTAAAAGTGCAACATTACAACAACTGAAAAGATCATATGACCAAAGTGACACATTAAAAAGATCATACGGATACAATGAGCTTGAGCAATAAAAAATAGGAGATAATAAAATCTAGAGAGAGCAGGTTGGACACATACTTGGATTCAAGGAGCTCAAGAGCTGAAACGGGTGACAGAGCAGGCCAGTGGTGCAGAAGTGCGTGGATTTCCCCCATACTGCCCCAGTCCCAGCTGGGAGCGCTGGCCAGGATTTTCGGCAAACTGTATTCATATTCCCGACAATAGTACCTCTGGTCCCAAAGCAGCTGTCTGTCCGCCCGTGACAGTCTGGTGGAAAAAAACAAACAAAAAAAAACTGCTGGTTAATCTTAAAATTAATAAAATACTTCCAGTGGGCTTCGAACCAACACTCCAGACACTCCAACCTCTTAATCCACAGACCATAAAGAAAGAGTTATTCCTGATCCAGAGATAAGAGGCAAGGGAAACAACTCACACCTCTTAAATGAGTCTGCGAACGGGCAGCCAAAAGCTGTGAGCTTGGCAGCTGTTGCCACTCGGTGGGCATTCAGCAAGCCACGCTCACAAAATGGTCATGGAGAGCAGCCCACCGGCTGAGACTGAGCCTTGTGTGGCTGTTTTAAAGCTGACTGAGCTTTCTGTTCCACATGCGAGACATGCCTTTTCACTAATAAACAACTGTCTGCTTTCCAGCTGAAATATTTCATCATTAGAAAGTCAATCTGATATCACAGACAGTTTAAGTCTTTAAGATTTATTTTCTCGATAGCTTTACAAGCAAACCCCCTAAAATGTGATTCATTTTAAAAACTAAATGGTTCTCTGATACAGTATGACTCAAATTGACCTGTACTCACAAACCAACCAGATCAACTTACTCTTAAAAAGATGCTGTGAATCTTAATGAACAGAAAGATTGTGGATATAAAATCTCTGAATGAACAAAATATAGCTTGTTACTAAAAAATGTTTAATAACTACAACATTTTTATCTCACAAATCTTACACAATTAGGAGTTTACATCTTACAATCCAGACTTTTTTAAAGATTTATATAAGTTAAAATTATTTTTACTCGAAATAGCAGGACATAAACGTGCAATTCCGTGATTAAAGGCAGAATAAACCCTCTGGGGTCTTTGGGTGTTTTGGGGCCCTGGAGAAGTTTTGACATGCACTGACAGTTGTGTTGTTTTCAGTATCTTAAAAACATATGAATGGTTAAAGTGTGATAACACTGTAAACAGCAAAAGTTGGGCTACAATAATACCCAAGCTGAACGTTTGTATTTTTGAGAAAGAAAAGTTTATGCGTGTTTAGTGAAAAACTAAAATTTTTAAGTCACTGAAACAAGGCCGTGAAACACACAGAGAACATTTGTGCACAAGACTTTTGAGAACTGGATCTTGTAGCCTAAAGTTTTTGCTTCAAAATGATGCATCGCGTTCACTTGCTCACAAAACACAATATAATGAATTAAATTTCTAAGTCACTTTTTGAGTGAAAATGGTTTATGCAAGAAGGCGTAAACTATCATTACTATGCAGTGAGTCACACCTGAGAAGACAAAGACCTGCATAATGAGCCGCATAATTAACCATCAGACAGGTATGTGACTAAAGCCTGGTTTATACTTCTGTGTCAAGTGACCGGCGTAACCCACAGCGCATGCAACACGCATAGCTGTGCATTTATACTTCTGTGCGCCGTCTCTATTGGTCTGCATTAACGCTTCCAAAACGCTAGTTGGCAGTGAGGTGTTAATGTGTCTCTGTGTCAAGTTTCTTCGTCTGTGTTTTGTTTTTTCTGAACGCTTCCGGGATGTACAAGTGGCTCAAACTCGCTCATTTTGAGGCAGGAACCGGCGGACGTGCAACAACTTTAACTATGAGGTAAACACAAAACAAGACTCGTCAGCGCTACCAAGCCGACCAATCACAGAGCTTGCGCTACGCGTCGTTGCAACGTGTAGTTACATTTTTTGAGAGGTGCAAGTCAGCGACGCCGATGGCCACGGCGTATGGCTATGTGTCGACGTGCAGCTGCGCCGTAGCATACGTGTGCGTTTGACGCAGAAGTATAAATCAGCTTTAAAAAAAAAAGGAGTTTCAAGAAGGAATCAGAGGAAAGTTTATATACTTTTTAGTTTGCAGTTTATTTAAAATATATTAAATCACACAAAATAACTGCAGATACACTTGTGAGGGGCAGTACACTCTATAAAACTCTGCAAACTTTATTAACTTACATATAGCAAATCTACTGAAAAAGTTATTTGTAAATAAAGAGTTGTGTTGCAAAACGAGATATCCATTTTGAGAAATGTTGGTTATTTGACAATATCATTTAAGACACCAACAGTCAAGTTTATTCACAATTTTAATACATTAAACTATTACTTGAGCTCAGTGAACTCCAGGAACACAATATTCTTCAAATCCAGGATATTTTTTATCAAACTTTGTCCATAAACAATTCATAAATAAGTCAAAAACCATGCCAAACTGCAACATTATCTTTGCATTGTCAAACATCTTAAATTTGTAAAAAAAAAAAATATATATATATATATATATATATATATATATATCTGCGACTGCAGATAATGGTTGTAGTGCGACCTGTTTAGATTTTTCTAAAAATGTGCTGAATTGCTCTTCCTTGCCGCTATATTGGTTTATATAAGCTGTCAATCACTCAAGGTATTCCGCTGTCAGATGACAGGGAAGGAGCTTTTATGACGACGGGAAATGCAAATGGCTGAAGAGTGAAAACTTAAAGCACACAGGTTTGCAAACCCCACCTAAAGTTGAGGCGCAGATGAGAGCGATCATGACATGTGGTGAATAATGATCCGCCAGCTGAGATCAATCAAGTACGTGTTTTCGGAGAAGGGCCCGAATCTCGATGCGTTGCATTCACTGCGTGTTCATCGCAAATGTCCGCTAAAAGTCAAATCTAATACTGTACATATCATCGCCAAAGAAGCTCGCCTTTACTAAGTTTACACTGAAACTGCGGCTCATAACAAACAGCGGTATTGCGCCGGTGGTAATCGCAAAAATCCTGCTCTACCTGAAAATGAAAATCAGCTCAGACTGAACATTTAAATTGACACAAACTGAAACCAAAACTTTTAAAGAGTGATACAAGTGAGACTTTACTTACTTTCTTTTGTCTATTCTTTCTTGAGGTGTATATTATTATTTTTTATTTAGTTACTGATGACTGTTTTGCAGCTTTCAGCCTTGAATTTAATTATTTATTATAATCTTTTGTTTGTTTTGTAGCAGAAATATTATTTATCAAACTGACATGCATATATAAACAGCAGTACAAAATAAATATTTCTTACTGCAATGCTTCATTTTTAATTGATGCAAACTATACATTTATTTTTCATAATTCATTCAAGCACATTTAAGGCAGCATGATGATGGCAAATGTAATTCATTGTTACTATTATTGTCATTTTCAACATCATTAATATTTTATAATTATTTGACATTCATTTTGGAATTATTGCACACAAATATCAATGTCATCTCAGCATTAGTTAGATAGTTGTTTCTGGTTTTTGTTAGTCCTAATTGATGTTGTTTTAAAATACAATAAATCCCTTAAAATACAATTTGCAGCGGTGTTCAATCATTTTTGGTGGGTGCTCCTAAATTTTTTCTGGTGCTCCTAAATTTTTGAAGTTGGGAGCACCGGTGCTACCAAGTAAAAAAGTTAATTTCGAGCCCTGTATATACATATATATATATATATATATATATATATATATATATATATATATATATATATATATATATATATATACACACACATCATAAATATATGGAATAGTAAATACAAAGATTGATTAATAATAATAAGATTCTGAGTTAGTTTTGGTAATCTCATATTAGAGCAATGTTATTTTCAAGAATGATTCATCATGAGTTTCATTGCGCGCATCACAACAGCTTTTGGCGCAAGTTATCATCCTCTCATTCGGTATTCACAGAAATTATTTAAAGAATAAATTTACAAAGGACACTTAGAAATGTAGCAGAAATGTAGAAATGTAGCAGAAATGTAGAAAAAGGCAGTATTTCACTGTAACTCCTAGCCTTCTTCTTGACATCAGCGGAGACTGACAGACGCAGGATTTTTTTTATTTTTTATCTTGGTCCACTTTTGTAGCGTTTTTATACAGTTTTGTGAAGTTGAAGGCTACATCGTCATCTAATAGTTTGTCAGCATGACACAGACCAACATTACTCGCATTACTGAGGAAACTCGGAGCACATCTTATCTACTTAAGCTCTCTTTAGACAATTAGACATAGCATTGGTTTGATACTGATTACTTCATCAAGCAATGTTTGTTTTCAACATAGCTGCATTTAAAAGTAGACACTTCAAGCTTTCTAGAGATACACGTCTCATCTGTTTTTTGCTTTCGTGAAGTTTCAGCAAATTTTTACTGACGCGCTTCTAAAAGCAGTTCACGGAGAGAGAAAAGACAGAATGCCTACGCTGTTTGTTCTCCTTATTTTGCAAAAGCACACACGTTTGTTGTTGGTGTGAGTTTACACAACAAAAAGTAGACACATAACAGATTTGATTGATGTATTGATCTTATCTGTACGATCAAAACTAAAACTGTAATTTAAGTTCATTTCAGCAGTTTGACGATACTACAGATCAAAATACGTATATGCGGTCTTCCACCCCAGGGGGTTTAGGAACAAACACTAAATTACAAGAAAAAAATCTAAAATTGCATATCTTAGTCTCAGAATTGGAAGATAAAAAACAGGCTTCCATATACACAAGAACCTGGTGATGTTTAATGTCAGTACTACTTAATGTATTGTTGAGTTTCCAAAAAAGTTTGAAGCACAACTGTGGTTCAAGTAAGTTTTACAAGTAGTAGTAGTAGTAGTAATAATAATAATAATAATAATAATAATAAAAAGCAAATTGGCATATAACAATAAATTATGAAGAATGTGACACTAAAGTATGGTACTGGAGGATAAATAGAATCTGTAAATTCAGATTTACCATCACAATAATAAAATTTTATTTAAAATATACTCATGTAGAAATGCATCTCGTATAGAAACGCATCTCATATTGCGCATCTCACATCGAAACGCAATTCTCTATCTCTAAAAATACTTTGTAATAATGCTGTTTTTACGGACATTTTTGGTAAAATAAAAAGCAACCTTGGTGAGCAGAAGAGAAAAAAAAACAAAAAAAAAACAGTTACTGCACTTTGTTGTACGCCTAGACCACAGGTGTCAAACTCAGCTCATGGAGGGTCTAGACCAGGACACCCCTGGTCTAGACAGTACTGTATTTGTCAGTGGAAAAACAACTGAATACTGCATTCGGCTGCTGTGTGACCTGTGTTAATAAAGTCAATGATGCTTAAACAAATGTTTTTATATCCTGAAAAACTCAGTCAAATAACTTCAATCCAATTAAAACCCTTAAATGAGATAAGCTGAAGGGGATTCATATAATTGAAGTAACTAGGCAGAACTGATTTAATTACTTTATACTCTGAAAGTCTCCATTATCCTCCCTCTCTCAAATCACGATCAGTTCATCTGCTACTTAGGCTTATTATGGAGTGTCTGATGCTCAAACAAGACAGAACGAACATGGGACTGTTATCATAACAATCTTTCTGATAAGGGAACTTGCCAAAAGCCAGAATCAAATCTTACAACCTGATGCTACCTAAAACTTTCCCCTTCTCTTCTGCAAACAATGGCATTTCCTTCATGTAATGCTAACCTACTTTATTCCATGAGGTCTTTTTCTGATTTAAACTTACCCGAAAGTAGATGCTCGTGCGCACAGCTTTTCTATCTCACTTCGATCGTCTTGATCAAGTGGGTCTAGAGACTGAGGATTGGGGCAGCCGTTCTCCTGAGGACCAACATAGAGCACGTCCACCGCTGGACTGGGGAAGTCAACCTGTTCATGGACACATAACAAATATTCAAATCAGGAAAATAGGTCTGCCCCAAATCAAATAATTCTGCACTATTCTACATCATTTTGTAGTATAATCAATATAAGCAGTGCATTAACACTGAAAAGTGCACTTTAAATACCCAGAGGACACACTCATTCAAACTCTAAAAGGAAGTGTGGATTGATGAACACTTCATGTACTCAACACTCACAGCTTTGCTTACATAGTGGACAGTGGGGGAGCTATTGATGTAGCAGAAGCCTTGCAAAAGGGGATAACTTTGTATATGGAGGAGCCTACATACAGTTCAGTGCTTCCCACATATCGACTTTACTTATGAATATATAATATACATACATATTAATGATCAACCAAGATTTAGAGACACTTTTTCAAAAATATTATCATCCTTTTACACTTTTTTTTGTATCCGCACAATATAACCAAACATCCACGAGCGATTAAGTAGTGAAAAATCTTCTTTCATTTAAAGGTTTCATGATACTTAGTCTGTGTGCACGAGAACTGTCAAAAACTCCCCCAGACAGTCTCACGTGCTCTGCAGACTCAGAAACAGAGCTTTTTTTGCACCCGGCCAGGGTTTCTACATCTATTAAAATGTCCAGGATTTGGCTTTTGCTTTCTAAAGCTGTCATTAATTGTATGATCACAGCCGCGAGAGCGAGAGAAACATTAACAAATTAAATACTTCATCTAAATGACTCAGAAAAACTTTAGTGTAATTTTGTCCACTTCGAATATTTAATAAAGTGGCTGCAAAATATTTGTACACAACAGTGGTGGATTTAGGCATGGGCAATATGAGCTATCTCCGGGGGGGGACCTTACTGAATGGCATGGGGAGACGGTGCAAAAAAAGTGCCACAGTAAAAGATTTGAGATAAGATTTACTTGATGCAAGTGTATTAATGTAGAGTGGTTATCCCAGAATAAAAAAATGTTAGGGGCTATTCACATTTGGCGTCTTTTTTACACGCCAACCGAAACAACGCTGGTGAAAACAAATTGATGCAGAAAGCCATTCCCACACAACTCACACGTGCTGCTCCTGATCAATAATCCTCACCCAATAATAATAATAATAATAATAATAATAATAATAAACAAATTGTTATATTTATAGAAAATAAATGAATATATTTAAATGTATTTATAATATATATATTTTTAATGTATATATTTATAAATGTATATTTAAATATTTAAATTATATGTAAAGTCAACCACAGTGTCTTTATTTCTTGAGAGAGATGGGTGAGGGGAAATGTTTGGGGTGGTTTCGCCCAGGTACTATTTAAACTAGAATTGCCACTGGTACACAGTTAGAAATGGCTAATCAACTTATTTGCCTTTTTTAAATAATCTACACGTTTTATTCCTATCATCTTTTTTTTTTAGAATATTTTCAGTTTTTATTTACTTTTTCAAACATTTATTTATCATTAGCTGGATATTTATAAAGCAACCTGAACTTGAATGTGAGAGTGAAGTGAAGAAATTGTGAAATAGAGGCAGCTATTCTTTCTTTCTTTTTGTCTTTTACTTTGAAAAGAAAAAGTTTCTAACAGTTTTAATAAATAAAAATATTTTTTATTAATCATGTTTGTCACATAGAGTCAACAATTTTTGTGACGTGGGTAAAAGGTGTGATTTAATCCAGCTACCGCCGCAAGTAGATTTCAAAGCAGTGGAAAAAATGATAAGCCCTCGTGTGAATTTTATTTCTTCATGACAGGTACTATTTGGTAGTTTGGTCTTTTATTTCATTAATTTGGCAACTGTTAAACGTTGACCAAGAAATGGTTTGAATCTCCATTTTATTAACAAAAACAAAAAAACGCTGAGTTCCATTTGGGATGACACAAAACTCATCCACTCATGAGTGTATAAGTACACAGTGTATTAGCGTACTGTGCTATTTGGGAAGCAACTAATGTCAGGTAAACTCTACAAAAAGAAAGGCAAAAGGAAAGGACCTGCAGTATGATCTTTTCTGTAGGATTCCTCCCTTTGCCTGCAGCTCCAGGCTGAAGGGCTTGAGGAGAAGTCCACAAACTCAGCAGTTTACTGCCTCTGGACAGAACCCTGAAACAAAGCAGCAGGAAGACAAACTTAAGAGACAGCATTCAAAAACTGTGCCAGACTCATTAACTCAAGCATGCTCTAATATATCTATCATGCACAGTCATACCGGAAGTAACAACTTATTCTTTGTACAATTCTTAAGCATACATTTGAAAATCTATTTATAGACCTGTCTTTCCATCTATAATCTAGTATGCATCCATCTATCCATTTATCTACACATCCATGCTTTTTTCAATTGATCCATTTAGATTTCATCAATCATATACCTATCGTCATTCCATTCTATCCACCCATAGTTTTTTTACCCATCCATCCATCCATTAATCTATTCACCCATGTAATCATCCTTTTATCACTCCATCTCCCCTTTCCTCCATCGATCAAAATATTAATCTATCATCCATGCATTTATCCATCCATCTAAATCCATTATTAATTTGTTAATCCACTGATCCACTTATTATCAATCCTATTTTCTATTAGAGACTATCCATCCATTAATAAATATATTCATCAATGTATCCATCCATCTATTCATAATTTTAATTATTCATCTCTTCTTACCTACTTCCATCCATCCATAACCCATGCATTAACCATCAATCTATTTATCTATCAATTCCTCAGTTGATGCAGCTATCCGGTTATTTAACATTCACAAATTTACCCATGATCCATGTAACTAAGAACTTAACCATTTATGTAACAATGTATTTTATTAATCATTTTTATCCATTTTCAATCTATCCATGCATTTATCCATCTATCCAACAATCCATCAATCAATTGACCCACTTATTTATCCATCATACTATGTATCAGTGAGAGTCCACCCGTCCACGTATCTATCATCTATCCATCCATCCATCAATAAATCTATTCACCCATGTATCATCCATCCTTTTATTTATTAATCTCTCTATCCATCCATCCATCCATTATGCCACAATCAATCTTATAAAACTTGCCAAAATTATTTTATCAATCAGTAAGAGTTCATCCATCCATACACATACACATGCATCCACTATTCAGTTCATCCACTTATCAAGCCATCTAACCATTAAAAGCCAAATCATCCATCTCATCACTGAATAAATTACATGAAAAATAAACAAAACAAATATTAATCAAACACATAAAATGTGCAATTTACTCCCAAAGGTAATTCTTGTGTATTTGAGGTGCTGTTTATGACTTGCCTCCTGAAGTCAAACAGAGGCATGGAAACTTTTCCCAAAAGTTCTGGACCTTTCCGTTGCTTGTTGGAATCTGGTGAGTTGTTTGCATTCTGACTGAGGACCCCATAGAGAGAAAGACTAAGCATAGCCTCCAGTGGTAACAGCGACACTGAAATAGGGAAGTTTATTCTAAAAAAAAAAAAAAAAAAACAGAGTAAGACGTCACTAAGTGCAGAAACTGGCAGCAGTCCCACTGAAATTCCCCCTTTAATTCTAAAAATTGCAGGAAGCAGTGTGCCATTCTGCTTAAGAAGGATTAACACTTACAATTCATCCCATTTGATGTGGTAGAAGAAACTCTTGTATGTTCCCACTTTTTTGGACTGGACAGGTTTGAAGAGATTCCTGTTGTTATGGGTCAGGGCACACATCAGGTAGTATTTTTCAAAACTGGAAAACAGAAAGGAATGTATTACTCTATGGCACGAAATAGGAACAAAACATTAGCCTGTCTGGTATTTACTCATCTCCAAACTTTATATTGAAAACTAATTGAAAAATGTTTGCACTGACTGTAGCTTCATGTGAACACAAATGCTTTGCATGCATTTTTTAAAATACTTTGGCAAATTATGGAAATCCGTTTATCAAACTTCAAATATTTGTAAATTTACAAATGGCACATGGACACATATTTTGAATGTGTTTTGGTGTGGTCTGTGAAAATATTTCATGCTGCTATAAATAGGCTTCATGATGAAGCGCTGTGGTACAAAGAATTCTCAAGGGTAAAAAAATAACAGTAAAAAAATAACAGCGTCTCCCCTAAGGGAACTGGATCAAAACATAGAACCAAGTGATGCAGAACTTTAACCCTCTTCTGTCTCCAAACACATCACACCCCTATCGCTCTGCTTGTTCTGTATGGAAATCACTAGTCAAGTCTATTTTAGCAATGGCAGATAAGTGCTGCTTTTTCAGTGGCAATAAATAAGAGCACTCAAGATAAAGTTAGCTACACAGAATGGCCTATCCAACAATTCACTGTCATTCTCGCTCAACAGACAAACTACTAACAATAATAATTTTGCAAGCATGTCAACCTGTTCTGCTAATTAAAACCTAATAGTCTACCAAAATTAAAATGAGAATTAAGAGTAGTTAAATTGACTTTTATTCAACAGGATGTCTATCAAAATAACATGCAAGCTACATTTCCGAAGGAACTGAACACATCTATGCACAAAAGCAAAAGCTCAAAATGTCAGTGAGATTAAAAGACGTTTTGTAATGTCTCATGGCTACATTTATTTGATCAAACACAGTAAAGCTGTATTTTTATACATTAATGTATTATAATATTATACTGTTGCAATATAATACACATGTAGCAGCTATTACTTTAAACTTGACTTTCACATGATGCTTTAAAGTTCATTCTAATCCACTGATTTAGTGCTTAAGATGTCGTCTCAATAATGCTGAAATATGTGTATATTATGTTGTATTTTTTGTTAAAGTGATTACTGATAAATTATTGATAGATTAGATTATTGATAAAGTTATTGCATCCATGCTTTATTTTGGCCACAAAAACTGCCAATTGACTAGCTCTTTGAGCCATCTTTTTCTAATGGTTAATGAGTATCAAAGCAATGTTAAAGTTTTTCATCATTTTTAATTAAACACCATTTTAAGTGACAGAGCAAATACGCAAGTCTCAACATATGCCAAATGTCAAAATCCCAAGTAATGAGATCACATATACTACATCATGACATTCCAAAAATAATAATTATCAGAGGGCAAAACCTTCTTCCCTTACAACATGGCCTAATGTGCTTCGAAATGCTAAAAAAAAAAGTTGATTTCGAGTGTAGTGCGTTAGGAATAAAGTGATTCTACATCTCTCAAAGTTCAGTTAAACATTAAATGGTCCAGATATCATTTATTGAAGTCAATTGCTCCAAGAAAACACAGACCCGAAATTACTCAAATTATCTAAGAGGAAATAACAGTGTAATGAATATGGACCCAGGCAATGCTTTGAAAGTAATAGAGAAGTTTACCTTGGCTGCAAGTTTGTTAAACAGAGTCATTATCATTCCGAAGAGAATTAAACATCATTTAGCATTTTTCTGGACTGTGAGAGAAACCCAAACCAAATCCATTTTTTGTATTATTGAAGTATTAGCGTGAAATTTAGACCATCTTCTACTGACTAAGAGAGACGACAGTATTTACCTGCTGACCCAGGTAGCAGGAATGCCATGAACGGCAAACAGTGTGAACTGTAAGTGTTCAGTGGTGCCCGAGGCCTCTTTGCTGTCCCTCTCATCTTCTTTGTGCTCTTCTATCATGAAACCAGGGCTAATCGGGCAGAAAGACTGAAGGTAGAGCTTGGCGAGTTCATAGACAGCATCTGTGAGCACTGCTAAACTCTCCTCTACAGGGCTAGAGTAACCTGGACGATTATAAGAAACAAAGATTAGAGAATAGGTTAATAGGATAACACAGCACATGCCTGTTTTTAAATCCTACAATCTTGAAAATAAAAAGTTGTTTAAGGAAAACTTCCCAAAAGGAAGTCTGGAAGTTTGCTTTCCAGTATGAGCAAGCCTAAATATAATGTATGTGAATGTTCTTCAGCACTGTCATAAATGCATATTGCTGAATATAGAAGTAACATGCAGTTGACCAAGATATTTAAAGATAATATTTACTTTGTTCTCTCAGAACTAAAAGGGGTGATGATATTAATAAAACTGCAGTAGGAAGGATTTCATATTTATACTTAAAATTATTTTTAAAAGATAATTCAACTTAACATGAAAATTTATGTCTACATTAATTCACCTTCCACTTGTTCCAATCTGTTTTCCTCTGTTGAACACTAAGGAACATATTATGAAGAAAGTTGGGGAAAAAACATCCATTATTTCCTAGGGATAGACTGATCACGATAATTGTTCAATGCTGCACATTTTTGCTAGATTGAGTATCGGCCAACCAGTACCGATCCAAATCCAATCTTGTGTGTGCGCCATATTCAGTGTAATTTATAAGCCAACAAAAGCCATGAAGATAGCCTATTATAAGGCACTAGAAAGTTTTCATGTAGGCCGACTATATCCCAAATGTTCTGAAGCCATTCTATAGTTTAATATGAAGTACAGATAAATATTCAAGTGGTAAAATTCATCATCAGTTCAGTGCTTCCCTCTGCTGCGCCTGTCAGTCATTCTCCATTCATTCACAATTCAAACTGCATGTCGCTTATGTTTGTTTATGACAACACTAAAAACTCTCCAGGACTATTTTTTCCTGTTAGTTTAAATTATCAGCGGAGAAATGCATTTAGTTTTGCATTAAATGGGTTCATTTTGACCGGCAACAAAGAGGAGTTCGTTGCGGTTTCTAAATCATGTTGCATTGTTAGATTGCACTGACCGTGCAATATGGATTGTGATTAACAGAAAATGATTTAGCCTAATATAGGCTACTCTGAAACTTTTAAAATTTCACAGTAATTTTATTTATATTAAAATTTTATTTAATAGACCATTTTGTGTTTTGCCGCTGAAGCATACGAGCAGACTTAGTTTTGAACTTCATCTCAAATCTTCTAGTGTATTTTGTAGATAACTGACTAAAGAATACATTTATACCAAACTAAAATCATTCCTAAAAAATCATTTTTTGTCACAACAAATAATTTTTCAGGACTCAGACAGTTTAGTTTAGTCTGCATCAAACCTGCAGGGAAATATCAGGCTTTGCTTACAGGCTAGTTATTTTACTAACGATTAGGGTCAATGGTAGTAGCTTCTTACAGATTTCAAAGAAAACCCTTAATATTAAAAAAGGAAACATGACCTGGACCCCAACAGATCAATCAATGTTATAATAAATGCTCATGTTTTTAGTCAGATTGTGACATCTGTCATATACTGTACAGTAGGCCTATTGGTCTGTTATTTTATACTAAAAATTAAACTGCTTATGTTTATTAAAAATATATACTCAGATAATTAATTTTGGTATCAGGATTGGACCCAAAAAAAATGATATCGGTCAAATTAATGTCATTTCTTTCAGCATTGTACAGAATATGTTGTTTTATGTTCAACAGAGGAAAGAAAGTCTCAAATGTTTAAAATCACCTAAGTTTGAGTAAATTTTAACTTTTGCCTGAACTGTTCCTTTAATGCTGAAAATATTGCACAAATTATAGAAATAAACAATAATTATAGGGAGAGATGCTGAACTTTAACTTACCATTAGCTGAACCTCCGGAAGATGTGGCACCAGCCTGCAATTCAGCATAGTGCTTTATGAAACATGCGCACATATAACAATAAAAAAACATTTTAGACTAGGTACAGGGAACAACATGTCAGCACTGATTTTGTTATTATTATTGTTATTATTATTAATTTTAAAGTGGTTTTAGTCAGTGCTAGATAAATCAATTTATTAACAATTGATCTGTCAAAACATGAAAAATACTTCCTGACTTATGAGTAACAGTCATCAAATTAATACAGTAGTTCCCCATTCCAGTCCTCAGGCCCACTGCCTTGCACAGTTGTATGTCTTTTTGTAACCAAGACATATAAAATGTGCAGAGAAGGAGGCCAGAGGACTGGACTTGAGAACCATTGTATTAATATCGCACATGGCTGAAGGTTTATACTGAAGGGTCTCTGACCTCTGGTGAGCGTGTTCTAGGAAGGTTGACAGAGCGCTTGAGCCTCTTGACGGCATCAGTGATGGCTGGTGTCTCAACTTCATCCAGAGCACAGCACAGATTCTTAACAGACTGAACCACATTGTCCACTGTTTTATATTGGTTGTTCTAAAAAGAGACACAGAAAAATGCTTACAATTAAAAATATATAACAATAGTTTCAAGGAGTTCTTGACTTATTTTGATACAGTAGCTACTGTATGTTTTCATCTAGCTATTTTTATGTGAAGTTTGGAATATCGCATCTGTGGAGTTGCTCTTCGGTAAATCTTCCTTCAGCATTAACTTTTGCATTAAACCGATCAGAATTAAAGTGAATAGAAGCAATTTATTAGAAATACACTCACATTCTACACTACTCTCCTGCCTGCCTGAACTGCTGGAATGTTCCACAAATCAATTTAAAAAAATATTATTTTACTCTTTATCTTTTCTTTATCCAAGTTAAGCTAATTTAACACAATCTACATTGTAAAAAGTGTGAAAGAAATAAAGATTACCTGAACTGAACTGAATAAAAAATGTTTTATATAGAAATTAAATTTTAGAAAATGTGCATTAAAACCTTCACAACAAAGAATGTTTTATCAAACAAGAAATGTGCATAAACTACGATGGAAAGACATTTACTGAAATAATTTCAGCATGTGCAAAAACACAACATGATTTTGTTTCAACAGATCATGTGATAATAAAAAAGGTGTAAGGAGATAGCCTTAACAGACAAACTAGTGAACCTACAGTGGCACATTGTAAAAAATCTGAATTTTTGTTTTAGTTAATCTAAAATGCTTCAGCCAATGTCCATCATCAATAAGTTGTTTGGTACAAGGTTATAATAGTTTTGTACTTTTCATTAGTTTAAGTTTTTATTTCATTTTGACTTTTTGTTTTCAAATTCAGTTAGTTTTAAATAGATTTAGAGGTAGATTTACTAGTTTATATATATAAATATATATATATTTTTTAAAACTGCTTAGTTTTAGTTCATATTAGTTTCAAATATTATTATAATTGTTAATTATCATTATTAAGGATATTTGTTAGATACAAGATTCAAAATGAAAAAAAAAAAAACTCAACCAAAGATACATCTTTTGAAACATGTATCCAGAGGACACATGACCACTATCATCTACCCATCTTAAAAATCAAATACAACAGCCCACAATATAGCAGCTCAAAGTGCAATATGTGTGCAAGGCTGCTTCTGATGTTAGTTACGTAGTAATGGGAAATTCAGATCTTTAATACAAACTGGATCTTTCGTGACCATCCTCCCATGTTAGGACTTAACATATCAAAAATATGTAGTCAGCAATTATATTTACGTCAGTTAAAACATCATTATGATCTGAAAAGTTTCTTACAATTATTTTTGCAACCTAACTCAAGCATGACTCACTTATTTAAATTCCATTACGATTTTCTGCCATGAAATAAACTTACATTTTGCCAGATCCTTTCATATAAGCCCACAGTTTACCAGCGCTGCAGTTGTTCAAGTTAAGTTGAGTCACAACAGGCTGTCATGTACCGTTATATACATATGCGCAGTATTATCGGTTCTATTATCAAATCTGATCTCTGTGCACTGTACAAATAACTGATTAACTCAGTATATCTTGGTTTGTTTCGAGTCAGAATGATTTACTTCGATTTGTTGAACTAGTTTAACTGGTTTACTTAGAAGATCTGGTTAAAAAGAATGATTCGTTTGTGATTGAGATTGGATTTACATTTACATTTAGTCATTTAGCAGACGCTTTTATCCAAAGCGACTTACAAATGAGGACAAGGAAGCAATTTACACAACTATAAGAGCAACAATGAATAAGTGCTATAGGCAAGTTTCAGGTCTGTAAAGTCTAAGAAGGAAAGTATTAGTAAATTTTATTTTTTTGAGTACAGTTAGTGGTATATCCAGAGAGGCAATTGCAGATTAGGAAGTGAAGTTGCACTCACACTCACAAAAGATCCAGTTTGCATTAAAGATTTGAGATTGCACTCACTTATACAGAAATAAAACCTATATATGGGAACAAATGTGGTAAAAATTAATAATTTTAAGTCTGCATTTACTGCTGTCACCATGCTGCTGTCATATCCATTCTTTTTTTGTCATGGGAGCAAAAGTAAGGACTGAGTGGAGAAGAACCAGCTTGATCTGGCCAATGGCATCAGGATTACAGACTCAGAGGTGCATTGTGGACCAAACACCTAACAGCTCGAAGTATGTATTAAATACATTTAAAAAGACGAAAACAAAGAAAAAATTATGCAATACTTTTAGTTAGCTTTGTATGCACACAATACAGTTTCAGTTCTAATTATAAAACATAAAATAAAAAAATAAAAACTTCTTTCAGTTTTTTAGTTGTCGTTTTTTCGTTCACTATAATAACCTTGGTTTGGCATTATTACATCTAAAACTCTGCTCTGGTGGCTGCGCTCCCATAAAGCAGTCTTGCGCCTCCAAAATACACTGAACATTCATTGCATTTCGTTCTCTGAGGTTTAATTTATTATATGAGGAAAAACAGGCTCAAAGTGGATTCTCCTACTGTAGCAAATTTCATTTCTCTTTTTGATATTTGGCACCAATTCTTCAGGAAGTGACAATTTTGCTCTCTTTGACTCATTGAATGTAAACTTTGCTTTATTCGCAAACGTTTTTTGCTATGTTCCATATTTGTGCATAAATGTCATTTAAATCTTTATTTGCAAACAAAGCTAGTGTTTGAAACATTTCAGAAATGTGCTACCTCATTCTGAAGGCAGAGATTGACTTGCTTATGAAAGCCTTCTAGATATTCAGCAAGGCCTTCTCTGTAAAAGAAAGAACAAGCGTGCAAATGCATGAGAGAAATCAACAAGCACAATCTGGGACTTCAAAGGCAACACGAAGCCTTCCAGATAAGATGGAGAACATTCCTACCTTGTGACTGCCTCTTTAAATGGCCTCTCCACTAGACCAAGGTATTTCTCCAAATCAATGGGCGAGATGTCATCTTCTGCCTGTTAACAAGCATCCAAAGAAAAAAGAATCTTCATTATTTTTATAACAGTGATGGTAGTGTAGTGCAGTGAACAACCAGATTCTATCTATTTCTTTTAGCCTTTATTAAGTGTCTTACAGTTCGGGCCAGATCTCTTCTCATTGTGCTAAGAAACAGGAGCTGTAGTTTGATCTCTGATTCCCACTTCCTGCAGTTCTGCACGTACTCATGACTGCCTAGACTGTGTTTACTGGAAGAGAACATAAAAGATGCTTTAGAAATGGGCCAGAGCCAAAAGCAACTGTATTAATCAATAATAAAACCTACCATTAAAAAGATTAGGGTAATTAAAAGTGTAACAGTTTAATTGACCAACAATGCATTTGATTGATCAAATATTACATGAAACATTTCTTTTTTTTTTTATAAAATATTTTAAACAAAAATCCATGAAAAGGGTAATGGTTAAATAGTAAATCTAGTTAAACATTTTTGTTGATTATAAAGTAATATAATTCCTCTTTTTAATATAAAATCTATGTTAATAGAGCATCGCGTCAGTATCTTACAAGAATTGCTGACTTGAGGAAATGCTGCTTAATATTCAGCTTTATTAATCTTTCTAATTAGTTTCGATTTATATTTGAAAAATGCAAAACAACATTTAATTTCAATATTTAACACTACTGCTTTTTTTTTCTTTACTCTATTCATCAAATAAATGTGAACATACAATCAACGGCCACTTTATTAGGTACACCTTACTAGTACCGAGTTGGACCCACTTTTGCATTCAGAACTGCCTTAATCCTTTGTGGCATAGATTCAACAAGGTATTGGAAATACTCCTCAGAGACTTTAATCCATATTGCCATGATAGCATCACGCAGTTGCTGCAAATTAGTCATCTTCACATCTATGATGCGAATCTCCCATTCCACCACATTCCAAAGGTGCTCTATTGGATTAGGTTCTGGTGACTGTGAAGGCCATTAGAGTACAGTAAACTGATTGTCATGTTCAAGAAACCAGTCTGAGATGATTCACGCTTTACGTCATGCTATTCTGCTGGAAGTAGCCATTAGAAGATGGGTACTCTGTGGTCATAAAGGGATGGACAAGGTCAGCAACAATACTCGGGTAAGCTGTGGTGTTGACATGATGCTCAATTGATACTTTGATACAAGGTGGGATGGATCCATGCTTTCATGTTGTTGATGACAAATTCTGACCGTCCAAATGTAACAGCAGAAATCTAGACTCATCAGACCAGGCAACGTTTTTCTAATCTTCTATTGTCCAATTTTGGAGAACCTGTGTAAATTGTAGCCTTAGTTTTAGAGATGCTCTTCTGCATACCTCGGTTTTAACGAGTGGCTATTTGAGTTACTGTTGTTTTTCTATCAGCTTGAACCAGTCTGGCCATTGTCCTCTGGCATCAACAAGGCATTTAAGCCACAGAACTGCCGCTAACTGGATATTTTCTCTTTTTCAGGCCATTCTCTGTAAATCCTAGAGATGGTTGAAGCGTGAAAATCCCAGTAGATTAGCAGTTTCTGAAATACTCGGACCAGTCTGGCACCAACAAACGTCTAATGTTAAAAGTCTCTTAAATCACCTTTCTTCCCCATTCTGATGCTTGGTTTGAACCGCAGCAGATCGTTATGACCATGTCTACATGTCTTAATGCATTTAGTTGCTGCCATGTGATTGGCTGATTAGAAAAATGTGTTAGCGAGCAGTTGAACCTAATAAAGTGGCCGGTGAGTGTATTTTTCTACAAACATTTTCAAATTCTTATCATCCCCAAACTTTTAAATGGTACACATAAGCCTTATGAAAAACAACACAAAAAAGAAGATATTGCATCATTTCTTTTTGAGAAAGTTCACTCTAAGAACATTCCAGAAGAGTAGTTTTTTCCAGGAGAATTGTGCTTTGGAAGGGTCATATTTAATTCACTCTTCAATATCGACTTGCCAAGGTCAAATGAGGACAAGCCAGACACTGAGAAACTTTAACATAACAACTAAAAACTTTCTAGAACGCTTAAAAACTCTGAAATGAGCACAATAACATGGACACCCCATGGTAACTAAGGGAGGATGCCTTACATTAGACTCAATTCTTCCTAAATGCTTGGAAGGGTTTTGTTTTGCCCAATCCCTCTGTTTCTTATTAGGCCAGGCAAACCCTCCCCTAGCACTGCTGGTTCTTCTCTTCCAATGGTGTGGGTAAAAAGGAAACATTTCCCTAGCACAATTAAAGCAAAATAGCCCCGCTCTCAAGGAATGTTGGCAGGAGACGTGTTTATGTAATAGGACAGAATGCCTGCAAAAAGGAAAGCGAGAAACTAAAGGGAGTACTCACTTCTGAAGGACCTCCTCCTGTCCGCAGACCTTGAGAACGTAGCTATTGATGTCCACCTGGTTCAGGTCATCATGAACCCAACACAAAGCCTGCATTATGAGCAAGTCCACTGGAGAAGTCACTAGGGAAAGAAATACAGACTACAATAAGAAAGCCATCTAAAGACAGATAAAAAAAGGAATTCGATGGGGAAAAAATTAAGAATTAGGACTGCACGATACTGCAAAAATATGCAATAATGTTGTTGAGTACTGAAATAACGGTATTTCTTATGATAAAACATTTACCTAGATCAGGGGTCAGCAATCTCGTTCCTGGAGGTCCGTTACCCTGCAGGGTTTAGCTCCAATTTGCCTCAACACACCTGCCTGGGTGTTTCAATTATACCTAGTAAGAGCTTGATTGGCTTTTTCAGGTGTGTTTGATTAGGATTGAAGCTAAAATCTGCTGGTCATCGGACCTCCAGGAACAAGTTTGGTGATACCTGACCTAGATAAATGCTATTTATATTAGCCATGTTTTCTTAAATAATTTAAGGATAATAAAATAAACAGATGAAATATATTCTTCAATTCAGATAAAAAAAAAAATACAAATGGTACAAAATGGTACAAATGTGTTGTCATGGTACAAACATTTAGGGCCCTATCATACACCCGGCGGAATGTGGTGCAAGTGGCAGCGCAATAGTTTTTACTACTTTAAGCTTGGCGCAAGGGTCATTTTAAGGCATTGGGCCACACTGTTTAAATAGCAAATGCATTTGCGCTCAAATATGCGCCCATAGGCGTTCTGGTCTAAAAAAGCAGGCGTGTTTTGGTGCGTTGCTATTTTGAGAAACTGTAAATAGTCTGATCTTTAGACCAGAACAAAGACGGTCTATTGTCTAGCCTAGCGCAAAGTGCAGGCTGGGGGGGGTTGTCGCGCGCGTTCTGATCAGCTGTGTTGTCGCGCGCAATCTGATCAGCTGTGTTGTCGCGCGCGAAATCTGATCAGCTGTGTTGTCGCGCGCGAAATCTGATCAGCTGTGTTGTCGCGCGCGTACTCAAGGGCGGTGTTGTTGCGCGCCTACTGAAAGGCGGGAATGAGGGTGTGTTGCGTGGCGGGGGCACTTTTGATCATTTTGGAAGGGCACTTTTTATCCAAGACTAAAAAGGGCATGTGCACTGCACAGGTTGAGCCCTATGTGTGCACGTGCCTGCACAAGATGCAATACGCCAATATTTTTACATATGAAAAAGATATAATAAGTATATATATATGATATAATAAGGATATATATAGGATATAAATATAAATGATGAAAATATTACAAAACATATTAATTTCTAGCCTACATGAATTTAAAAACCACACCTTCATACTTTCTTCATCTCGGGGGGGGGGCATAGACCATATGGGGCATAGCAGGTGTATTTGCAAATAACTCAGTATTTTGACGAAACTTTTTTATTATTAATCACTTATTCGTTTGCTGGAAATTAGAACTGAATTTAGAAATAGTTTTGAAACTAATCTTTGCGCTTAACAAACGAAATCAATTATTTATAGGCTAATTGATGTCTGTGCGGTAAGGTTTCCCTATCCATGAGAGCAAAAGCGAAAGTAAACTTACTTTATGTCATGTTAATACCAATGCGCTTATGGCGTGACGCAGCTGGCTCTTAAAGGTAATGGAAGATGAGACTCCAGGTTTATTCTCAAAACACACCTATAACTCATTAAGTAAATAAACTCAGCCCTTTTAGACCATGCGCTATGGCGCAAAGCAGATTTTCCCGTCCTTAAGTTAGCAAAAATGCATTCTGACACGCCCTGAAAGCGTTTGCGCCCTGCGTTTTGCGCTCTGCGCATGGACCGTCCGAAATAGAGCCCTATGTCTTTAAACCACTATGAATAAAGAAAAAGCTTTTCTGGCTCTAATTGGCTGTTGTTACTTTCCTCTCGTCTCAACTTCTGTCATTAGTGTTTATTTCCAGCTCTGGGTTCACCTCTGGGCTCCTAAAAGTCAATAGCAGAACTGCAACTAATGTGGAAACAGAACTAAAGATAAAGCATGATCTTGAACCTGATTAGTCAAATTAAGATAAAGAACCAATGCATAAGATTAATTAATTTATTACACACCTCTGCAATACCTATGTCACATATACTATTAATGTAATACCAATAATTTTTCAACACATGGTGCAGCCCTATACAGAATGTATTTTGTAGTCTCTGACACTTAAAGTTGATTTTCACTGTCTGGACAAATTCCTTACACAAAGGGCTTCTTTACACTTGGCCTGATTAAAACAAACTGCAGTGCAATTGCCATGTTAATGCGGTTCATTTGAATAGGTGTGAATGATGTCATCCAAACCCTAGTGCGTATCAAACAAATAGACTGAAACCCCTGAAAAGACTGGTCTCACTCAGTCTGCAAACAAACTCTGTAACAGTTTGATTGAAATGCGAAGACAGTATGGCACAATAGACATTTAATTAAACTAAAAAACAGGACATGATGTCACAAGATGCAACACTAAAAGAACAGAAAGAACAAGCTAGTGCTGCATAATTGTATCACAACTGCGATGTCAGCCTGTGCGGTTATATGATGGGGAAAATGTTGCGATTTTATTAAATCAATAATGAATAATTTATGAGAACAGCTTTTTTTCTGATATCCGTGCTGCTAACAAAACAAACAAACAAACAAAACCTATATTTATTGTATTTGTATTTTAACTAGAGATGCACCATTCGACTATCCAAGGCCTGTAATCAGCTGATTCTAGTCCTCTGGTCTGGTCTGTTAGTAATAGCGCTCACAGTTTTCATGGAGAGGTGCACACTCACTGTCACTGTCATGACCCTGAACTCAGTGGCGTAGCGCAAAATGCAGAGGGCCCCCTGCAGGGATCGCTGACGGGGCCCCCTGATGAAGGGGGGGGGATACGTCATACGTCAATTTGCATATCACTGACGTCATCACGTTCTACCGTTTCTGTTTAACAGCATATGGTTTATAAAGGGGTATTTATAATTGCACTACACTTTATATAAGCATGTTTATTTAACTAAATGTATTGCTGTTTGAATACAGTATGTCATTATAGATGTATAGTGAATGTGCAGTAATCTCTCATATGTAATAAACTCAGACAAGTTCAGAAACTGTCAATAAAATTTCTGTGATTGTGAACAAGAAAAGAATTAACGGTCCAATTAAATTGTTAAAATAAAGGAGAAGTACATAGGTTTGACTGTACAAGGGAAATACCTTCACACTGCCTGTGCTAAATCATTTGTCGTCGGTACGCAGAGGGGTGATCTGCTCTCGGGCTGCAGGTGGGAGAGGCTGCTGTACGAGGACTGACTGGGCCGCCTGTCAGTGCTGTGAGGCGGGGGAGGGGCCGGCGGCATCACACGCAGCTCGTTGAGAAGAGTAGGGACGGTACAGTATGGACAAATGACAGTCTAAAAAAAATTCTTCAATAACACACAAAAAAGTCGCTAGATTTGTCGCTAGGGGGGTCTGAAAATTCGCTAAATCTAGTGACAAAGTCGCTAAGTTGGCAACATTGGCGGCAAGCAATCAGAATGAAGTAGTCCACCGCTTGAGAGGTGTTCAGAGAACACAGACGTGTGAACTTTGGTTACGACCACAGTTGTTCCCAAGAGTTTATTGAAATTCGCGACGACGCGGGGCCCCCCCGCGGTGCGTGCCCTGCGGGCCCGTCCGCTACGCCACTGCCTGAACTTCTTTCACAGTGTTTAGAGTGGCTGTTTACAATTTGCAGCACGGCCACTACGTTTGGTGCAACTAACTTAATAACCGTCAAATGACTTTCATCTAAAAGCACAATTCAGACTTAATATAGAGTAACTTCGGGTGGTATTTTTTTAACGATGTGTAAACAGAGTGGTTTGACATGCAGTCCTGTCTGTGACACTTGCAGCTTGTTGCATGCTAACGCGTGCAGGCGTCCATGATGAAATCCTGACAGAGAGCATTTGAGTTGCTGGTGCTCCTCACCTGAACAGGTACATAACACTAGCGGTCTCTCCGGTCACATCAGCAGAAATGAAGCTCACTGATATTCACAGACCGTTTAACTGATCACATTAATCTGTTAATCATTAACAAGCAGAGATGTGGTCTTGATAGAAGGAAAATGGTCTGTGAATATCAGTGAACGTCCCTCCTGCTAATGTGAGAGGAGAGACCGCTAGTGTGAGTGCATATATATATATATATATATATATATATAAGGGGTGTCACGATTTCGATTATCGAAATTTATGCTCAATTTCGATTATCGAATCAAAAAATAGAATCGTCGATGCTGCCACGCGTCCCGTCAGCTTGGCTTGTCAAGTGGGAAAAATATATACATATATATATATATACATATATATACATATATATATATATATATATATACACACACACACACACACACACACACACACACACACACACACACACACACACACACACACACACACACATATATATACATATACATACATACTTATATATATTGATGGAGCCAGTTTGATGTTGATATCATGTAGTTTGCACTGGTTTGAACTTTACATTGTACACGTTACAGCAAGGGCTGTTGAGGGTGCTATTGGGAATGATTTTTAAACCTCTTCTGACTCATTTAGAAAAAAAAAACATAACAAGAGACTATGGCAAAAAGTATTTGGCATGACTAGATCAGAACAAAATCTGACACCCAACATATTGCTCATGGTCACCCCAGGGCTATAGCAATAACAGACCCCACACCCCTCCCTGGAATGATCCACTCTTCAAGCTCCAAGCCTAGGGCTGGATTAAAGTCAGTTATGTCTAACCTGGACTTTTCATGTCAGCCCTGTGTTTTTCAGGACTAAATGCCTGATGGTCATGCCTAATTGGTGGTGATTTTGGGGTTGTTTTGATGGGTTGTGGGATGCCAGTAAAACTGCCATCTTCTTCCCATGGTACTACAGTAAAACACATGGTCCTGGAATGTCAGGAGTGTGTGGTTGGTCTATAATGGCGGGGATTCTACAGCCATAAGGAAGTCATGGAAAAAAGCCGAGAGGCAAGAAAAACCGAAATGCTTGGAAAACGCAAATCCGTATGGTGCATGTACAATCCAAATGAATGAACAACAATCATATAAATTTCCAAATAAAGCAACACACAAGCTTTTTTCTCAATTGGTGTGCATCTTAATTTGAAGGGGCCAAATCTGATCCAGGAATCAGAAAATGGAGACTTTTAATCTGAGTTTATCCTGGAAAAGCCTTTATATTCCACACATTTAAACCTTAGTCGCCTCCCGAGCTTCATTTGCTGTGTCTCCCATGCCAAGTATGTCTGGAATTGCTAACTCTACTAACCTTACACACAGCTAAGCACTTTCCTCCACTTGAACAAACCAAGGAAAACCTCAAAAGCCACCTTTTTGAAGTTTCAGACAGTCAGGCTTAACATGCGAAGAAAGCATTGAGCTTCTTTGTATGGATTAGGAAAGTTAAGTATTCATAAATATGAGATCTTACTTATGCCCACTGTTTACAGAATGAAGGTATATTGTTACAAACCCAGATTTCAGTAGGATCAATGAAATCTCCTGATCTAAACACAACATACTGGGTCAGAAGTTGAAAAGGAAAGAACAAGTAAGAAGAGAGTCAATTTAACAATCCAGTTAGATACAGTATAGCAGGGAGATTCGTCAAACATATTAGCTGTCTATAAGGCAAACTCAGACACTTTGCCCCCTTTTCCCTTCCTAAGACCACAGTGTATGCTGGATTCATTCAGGACAAAAAGAGCTATGGGGCTTAGGCAGTAACAACACAGAAAAATTCTTCAACACAAAAGGCCAGTCTTGATTTCCTGCCAGGAGTGAGGTGGCTAGAGACACAGCACAAAAAAAATGAGGCCAGGCAGTCTTCAGAAAACAGACGCTTCACAGGGAACTGAGCCAGGGCCACTACAGCTCAATGAAAAGGACTTTCCATGCCTGGATCACAGACAGGTTACCCAGTAAAAAAAAACAATTCAACTCGAATCATGCAAGCAGAAAAATGAAAAACCCTGGTTGAAGTATCAATCTGTTGAGCAGACGCGCCATGACAGTTATATAAAAAGAGAATGTGTGACAGCAGCCAAGAAATGCTGTCTGGCACTGTCATCATAGCAGACATTCAGAGAAGAATATTATTGACAAATAGTGAGTAGATTATTTAGAATACACATTGTTTAGTTATTGCAGAAGATATTTCTTTCAGAACAAATTATTATTATCAGCTCGACGTGATAAAAACCCTTACCATCGCAAGTAAACGTTACAGGCTGTTGAGAATCAGAAATCTCAATGGACACTTTCACACTGCCCCCATTGTCCCCTCCTGCATCCCTCTGCGTGATCACAGGGCTGAGAACATAGCCAGGGTTGGTAGACAGGTCATCGTGTGGGAACTTTGACCTCAGTCTGCAAAAAAAAAAAAAAAAAACAGCACTGTTAAACATAGGTAAATGATGTGTACTACAAGGTTCAGTCCTTGTACAAGCTCTCTTTGTGTACTAATTTTAGAAAACAAGTCTTTAGCTTCTGCCACTAAAGGGGCATCTGTAGACTTCCTGCATTTCACATTGGTAGTATTAACTTTGCTGGGCAGCTTGCTGAAAACAATGAGGTATACATTTCAGGATTTCTGGCATTTCCTAAATTAGTCCATCAGGTGCAGATTAGTCTTGCTTCCCCTACAGAAAATAACATTAAAATGCTGATTCTGGTATCCTGGGACCTTCTGATGTTAAATATTCAACACAGCTGTAGTCCTGAGATGTGAGCTTTTTTGCTGAGGGTATCCTTTTCAACATTTCAGTCAGGTTGGGCGTACTCACACTATGCTATCCGAACCGTGCCCAGGCGCATTTCCCGGTTCATTTGACAAGTGTGATTGCTCTGAATGAGGCTCAGGCGCGGTTCAGTTGGCCTGCCCTGGCCCGGTTGGAATAGGTGTGCCAAACCACAGTTCAGTAGGGCTTTGGCGGGGTACGCTTGTAGTGGGAGTGTAAAGCATGTCTAAGCCTAAAACTGAAGATGCGTCGTCCATTTAAAGGGACTGTTTCATACAGATTTATTAATCATTCTTACTTTTCAATGAATGTGAACTGTCATAGTTTATTAAAGAAGCAAACAAGTCAAAATATTTGACTGTGGGTTATCACATCCCAAATGACTTAAAATAATACAAAACAATGTAACTAAAGTAATCTCCACTGTGCTGAGCGAGAGTGCTTCTCTCTGTTAAACAGAACAGTGCATCATCAATGACGTCAGCTCGGATGCAATGTGAGTGCAGGTCAATGGGGAAGAGGGGAGGAGGACAACCGTGCTTCGGTACAGCCTAAAGCAGGTCGCACATCAGAAGCGCCGCTGGGCGCCGCAACACGGCGCGCACATGACAGTTTAAAGTATCGCACACCAGACGCGCACATTCGAATGATATTTAACATAAAACTAATCAGATGGCGCTCTGTGGCGCGGCTGAAAAATGAACTGCGTCCTGAGCCATGGACTTGCGGCGCCGGTGTGTGTATCCTGATAGAAACCTATGTTTAGAATTCTAAAATGCATGGCGTTGCTTCTGGTGTGCGACCTGCTTCAGGCAACCATGCCTAGTGAGAGTACGGCCTTAAGCACAAAACTCGTCTTGAAGGGTATGAAACCACCCCTGTCAGGGTGTTTTTACACCTCTAGTTTGGAAAAAAGTCAGGAAAGTGGGTGAGTTCAGCATTGTTTAGGTGGCAGTGTTGAGTGTCGAAAGAGTGAAGGGTTTTTCTTAAAAAAAAAAAAGGAGTTTCATTACGTGCACGCGCTGATTTTCACAGCTGCAACAGAAACACAGACGCAGGGGAGATAGACAGTGACTATGATTACATTACATCAGTAATCAAACTATTTTCCTTGATCAGAATAAGACAGTAATATAATTAATGTGTTTATACGAGTTACTTTTTGAATATTCCGTTCATTATCTTGTTTTACATGTTGTAGTGCATAATTCAATTAATGTCACCGCGTCAATCCATATTTCCACTGGAGTTTCATGCAATTTCGGATGTTTCATTCTTAATTTGTCGACTTTAACTGCAGTTTGGCACTTTCACTTTCTTTCAGGAACATTAGCCACGTTTCCAATATCGCGCCTAAAGCGAGCGAGCCAGGGCGAGCCAAGTCCAATCGCGTTTCCACTGTCACTTCAAGGGCCTAATCGGGCCAAAGTGGGGCTTTCTAGGGGCCAGTGGCCAGCCTTTTTTGGCCTGCCGAATACCTTGGGCCAGAGATGGTGAGCTGAGTCTTCAGGGCGGAGTGAAAACAAAGGTGGAGTTTGCCCGAGTCTGTTAAAGATGACTTGCGGTCATAACAATAGTTTTCCGATTGCACACGACTACATGTGCCAAACAAATAAATTAATAAGGGAAAGAAAACATATAGCTGGTCAGTTTAAGATAGGCTATTCCATAAAACACCTTATGGGATAGGGGTCTTTTTGCTTATGATCGCCCTTATGTTTCCCTTTTAAATGTAAGGCTGTTGCATAAAAAGTTTTAATTTGACATTTCTTTGCTGCGTCCTCCTTGATGTTTCAGTAACGCATAATAATCTTTACAAAATATAAAAGACACAGCAGCCAGTAAAGGTTGTCGAGAGCTTCTGTCAAGTTTAGAAGGTGTGTTTGTGCGTGATCCGTGTGCATTGTAAGACCTGTGTGTGTGTGTGTGTGTGTGTGTGTGTGAGGCCGGGTTAAAGAGCGCTCGCTTGACAGCTCTATTGATGTCTTGACCGGCTATTTTTTTTTATTTTTTTATTTTGGAGATAAAACAAAATATGAATACAACAGAAAGCCATAAAACTTTTACACATGTGTCCACTTTTGACGGCACAAAACAATGATGTCATATTTTGATAAAATAGCCCAAGCTATATTGAAATAATTTAAAGAATTACAAATATCGGATATAATAAAATCACATTAAATAAATAAATTTATATAAAAGAAACAAAAGCTAGCTATAACAATGTACATATATACAGTCGGTTGGTGAGTAAAGGAAAATAATCAATGGAAACACACAGGCCCGTGCGTATAGACATATAATGTAATGCTGTACAGTAACGTGTCATTTGTTAGTTTCGGTTGTCTTTATATTAATGGTTTCATGATAATGCGATGGTGTGCTTTATCTGTCTGCCTGATTCCCGATGCACTGGGCGGGTTGTGTGACGTTTGATTCGGGGATGTACTGGGGGCAGGTTTTGCGGGACGGACTGCGAGCTACTAGCCCGACAGTGAAAACGCGACATGATTTCGGCCTCCCGGGGGATTGCCCCGGCCCGGCAAAAGCCCTGGCTCGATAGTGGAAATGTGGCTATTGTATGCATGCCCCTACATGACAAACAAGATATTGGTTAGGAGGAACTGCTGGAAGAGTGTAATGTGTTTTAATGGATTTTTTTATACCACACGCTTTATGCGGGAAAAAAACCCTCTGCATTTATTGGTAGATTCAGAGACCATGTAGGTGCTGAGAATAGCGTCAAATAGTTGTATGTATATAGACTATCTTGTCACAAAATGCGGCGAAAATTATACGCGGCAAAAATCCTACATGACGGTAATAGTTTGATTAACGCGTTTACGTTCTGGAAGCAGTATTTACAACTGAACAGGATCTGTTAGTCCATAACATTGTAGTGATATTAACTTAATGTCAACTTAGTAACTACTGTAAATCATTTTGACTTGGGAATGTCTTTAAAAACTGAAAGAGTACTGCTGACAATACTAACTAACTTTGCCATCTGGAGAAACAGAAACAAAGAACATTGACCACATACTGTACTTACCAAATCCATAAACACTAACTGGAACCTGTCTTTTTTTTTTTTAAAGACATAGATTGGCAAATCCAGATTTCTCTATATCCAGATCCGAAAAGCTCTCGGATAAAAAAAGTTTACAAGCGTATTTTTTCACTTATTAACAGACCACTATAATCCTCAAATGTGGGTCCTCACGGCAGCTCATCGCGGGAAAATGGAAACAAAACCTTTGTTGCAGCACATTTATAAACGCAACACTGACGACCCATGTCTCCAAGCAATTCTTCTTCTTTTACTTGTTTTAATTAGGGTTGGCAACACACCATGGCATCTCTCTGAACACTGTAACAGGTAAAAATTGCCTTTACAGCTGTATCATGCACATTAATGAAGTTGCATCTCATTCACAATAGAATGCGCTGATTGGTTTGAACCAAGTTTTTCTCATGAATTAATGCTGAAAACTCATACACGTCACGTTGTACTGGGAAAAACGGGAGTGTTGGCAGGTGGACATCCAGTCTCCATGCTGGAATTTAAATGAGGAATTTAAATGAAAAATAAATGAGGGGGGGATGGGTTTGGGGGTAATAATTCAGAGGGGCTAATAATTCTGACTTCAACTGTATATGTATGTCAACATCTCAAAAATGTTTTTTTGGTGTTTCATGACCCTTCAAAAAAAATTTACTCACTTTGAAATGTCTTCACAGAATGCTACAACTTCTAGATTCTGGGCTTCCTTCTCCTGTAAGGCAGAGTACTTGGACAGTACATTTGTGCTTCCCTTATTGACCTGTAAAAAGACAAAGCCATAGTTATACTGCTGATCAAGCATTCTTCCTACCATGCTATACATTTACTTTTACTGAGGGTGTCACTTAGATCCCTTCTACAATATTGTTTGAAAACACTCCATTTTATACACAAAGGTATGAAATATTAGTGATTGATGACATTAACACCCCAGTTCAAATGTGGAACGAGACAGTCTCTCTGTTTGGTGAGAGGACACAGAGTATGTGAAGAATGTCTGGAATGCCAAAAAAAGACTTCCTTCGGGAAGGAAATCGGTCAAAAAAGCACATCACTACAAAACTACAACTAGGAAAAAATGCATTTACAGTTTAATAATGGTTCACATAGGGATTAAAATGAGAAAGTGTGTATTCTGTTAACTTGCATATATAATACAGCCTAAATAAATGTATTTTTAATATTATTTAGGGCAGACATGGCATATTTTCTTTTGGCATGGATTATGATGAGTACATCTGCCTCCAACACAATCACTATCATTTATTTAAAGTAACAACAAACAAACAAGACTGTGTGTGTCAATCCAAAACTGAAACATCACAGATAAACTGCATGTAAAACAATCAAGCATGATGGTCTCTTCAATTGTTTACTAGGCCAGGGCTCTGGGCCTAACCTTAGAGAAAAATGAGATGCCATGTGACACACATTCACAAATTATTCATCCGCTTCTGCTTCGCGCTACAGTTTTACAGTTCTGGCTGGCCTACATGCAATTTCTCCCAGTCCAAACTGACCTTTTCCTCAGGTTAAAAGTTTATAAGTGAACTGCCAAAAAACAGCGTAAAAAACACCCAGGAATGAGAGAATGAAGGAAGCTGGCTTGGATGTGCTTCGTATTCGGTTGGATTGAAATAAAATTCCACCATCATCTGTGTTTGTGTGTGATAGAATTTGCAACTTCCTCTCTGTTATTGTTGTTAAGAATGCTGATATGCATTAAGTGGAACTTCGATCTCTGACTGACCTCATGCACTTCCACTAAAGTAAATATGACTGAACTTCCGTCAGATGATTTAACTTTCCACTGAGGACAGAGTGCTTGATGGTAAATAGTGACTAAGAGGTTTGTTTATGTATCTAATTACTCACCGTTACCTTAAACAAACTTCTTTTTTGCATGAAGGATAGGCTAAGGGCAGACAGAGCTAATGGTTTGCACTGAGATGGGAGCACATTTATAAAAGACATGTATATACAACTGAAACCAAATGGTCACATAAATAAGTACATCTCACAGAAGTATTTTAGAGCTGAAGTGTGGGCTAGGGATATGAAAGTACCAACTGATAGCAGTTTTATAGAAAGCAAGAACTCAGTTCAGTGGCTGAGTAATATCTGACTGACATGATCCGAGCTCAAAATCCTCACAGGCAAATTTGGCACATTTAAAATGTGTCAGAGTTCAAAAGCACTGGATGTGCGCTTTAGGTCCTAATACACTAACAATCAGAACTGCCAGCATTTTAATGTCAATGTTATTTATGGCAAATAACAAAAGTTTGGGGTCAATCAGGTTTCTGTTATTGTAAGAAAAACACATATTTGACAAGAAAGCATTGAATTTAGTAACAGCAGATATGTATAATGTTGTAATAATAGAGAGATTTCCATGTAAAACAAAGAGTTTTGAAAACAATCTGAAAATGCAAAAATATTAAGCAGCACAATATTATATATTAATAAGAAATACACTTTTCTTCAGCACAAAGCGGCTCATACAGTATGAATGATTTCTTTTGTGTAATGTGACTTCAGTTTGATATGCAACTGCTTTTTTATTATTTGCAAAGTTTTGCACTAAATTATATTTTAAAATATTATGAATATTTAATTAATGTTGTAAACGTACTAAGATTATGTAGACCAATGCCAAACTTTTTAAACTGTGTATACATTAACTATAAAAAGTGAGTAAATTTGTTGCCTTAAAATTACACTATATGCATAATTCTAACTTTACTTGACAGCTCCAACTTAAAATAGTGAATAAAGCCATTGTAAGTAGGCAACTTGTCTCTTTTAAGGCAATGGGATTAATCATGTTTGAGCAATTCCAGCATTTTGGATGTGACATTTGCAGTAAAAAATCTAAACATAAATTCACAGAGAAAGTATATGTTAACATTATATTGAGACATCTGTTTATATTTTCCAGAACTGACCACAGAGTTAAGGGATCCAAAAAATATCAATCTGCAAGCATTTTTTTATATTTTAAATGAGGAAAATAAACGTGTGTCATGGATATGACCAAAAAAGTTAGCGAGTTTACAGTATACAACATACTTTTTAGAAATTCTGTGAATTAAACTGCACAACCCAAAAGAAACAATGATAATCATAGGGATAAGAGTTGGCTCATAATAAAACAAAACAAAAATTATTTTATTTTATTAATATTTTTGCATTCATGAGAAAAAAGCTTCATTCTGGATGTGACATCTCTCCGTTAGTGATGTGGCTGATGTGAAATTTTCACATGTGTGACTTTGGTAAATCAAATATAATAGTTTGAAAACATTGACAGATACTTTAAGCGTTTGTAAAGTATTGTAAAATACCTGTGAAAACAAAAGAGTGAAAAAGTTTTTTTTTATGGCATGGCTGACATTTGCATGGAATTGCTCATTTAAGTAACAAAATGCTTTTATTACAGTGTAAACAAATACATTAATATAAATGTGTGCATTTATTTAATTTAAACAATTAAATAATATTAAATAACTTTGAAGTAAATAGCACATAATTTTTTTATCAACTAAAGCTGTTTTTGCGACAACAATACACACCTTTGACACCAGTATTTACAAATAATGCATGAGTCATGATGCCGAATCATGATTTACCTTATTATTTTCATACCATATCGCTTCATGCAACAGAATTTATGTAATTATTTTCTTAACTAATCCCAAATACTTTTACTGCACTCCAAAAAAAAGAAACATCTTTTGGCTACAGTGTACTGTTAATACACACAACAGCAAACTGGTCTTTTAGGATGTGTGTCCTGATAAGAGTTGGAATATCCAGACTTTCTGATAAGAGTATCTGGTGTTGTGAAGCAGAGTAACTGTACACCAAAGCCAAAGCTCAGATTAGTTTCGCCTCGTTCGCACACTCCGAAAAAAGGCTACTATGGCAACAGGGAGCTGCGCGGCCCTGCTTAAGGCACGTCAGGAAGAACCCATGGGGCAAAGAGAGCTAGCTGGGACTTGTCTGTGCTAATGAGAACAGCAGCAAGACTTACTATACACACACACAAAGACAACACCCAGTTTACTATATGACTATTATGGCGGTATCAAACCTTCTTGTTGCAACTAACTGCTCAAACTTTTATCACGATATATGATCACAATATTAAGCTATACCACAAAAAAAAAGTTTCTTTTAAATTTTTTTTTTTTTTTTTGTTATTCTACCTGTTAGGATTTTTTTTTTTTTTTTTTTTTTTGCATACAGCAGGCAAAATAAGTATTGAACACCACCATTTTTCACTGAAAAGATATTTTAAAGGTGCTGTTGGCTTGACAGTTTTCTCAAATGTTGGTAACAACCAAATAAATCCATATATGCAAAAAAAAACAAATTAATTACTAAATACTAATTAGGTTAAGTGTAATAAAATGAAATTACGCAGGGAAAAAAAGCATTGAACACATGAAGAAAGGAGCTGTAGAAAGCCCAGACAGCAGCTGAAATCTCTCAGTAATTCTTCAGCAACCCTCTGCCCTTCGGGATTGTAAATGAAAATTAGCTGCTGCAGTCCAACTTCTACATTAGCAGGAGGCTGAAGATGAAGCCAGGGTGGACATTTCACGAAGACAATGATCCAAAACACAGCCAAGGAAACTCTCAAATGCTTTCAGAGTAAGAAAATCAAGCTGTAGAATGGCCCAGCCAATCACCTTACTTGAATTCAATAGGAAATATAAAATAAAGATCAGATTTTATAGACCGGACCCACAAAACCATCCAGATTTTTACACCCTGTCAGTGAAAAACTCAAACCTGAGCAATGGAAAAGCCTTCATTCTCCATATGAGATACATCTTTAAGCTGCCATGACCAAAAAAACCTTTAATATAAATTATTAAACATGTTTCAGTAGTTCAGTACAAATAACTAAATAGAATTAATCTTTAAGTTTGAAACACTATGACTTTATGGTTAAAATCAACTTAAAATCTTATACAGCCACAGTTCTTAAAAACACATTCAAATGGAAATCTTCCAGTCTATTAGGATTACACTTTATGACAATGTTTATGACAAGCACATGTTCTGAACTGTGGTGGCTGGTAATTTTAATATAATCCCATTCCATATTGCTCCATATTGCAAATACTGTGATGTGACGACTAAAATGTATTGTACAGCCCTAATATTGATGTTTTGGATGTTCGTGTCCATATACTGTAGGACAGCATAGCAGACACTTTAATATATCTGATGTCTGATAATTATATTCTTCAAACATGAAAGAGGAAGTGCAAAGACTAAAGCCCTTTCACCACCTTTGATGTTGTTTTATCCTTTAGTGAAAGTTACAGGCACAAAATCTTCAAGTTCTGTGGGAAATATGTGACAACAGCCAATTGTCCTGGTCAAAAACAAACATAATGAAACAGGAAGTGGGATTTCTGGGAAAAAAGGAGCACATTTACACACCCTCCCCAAAAGGAATCGAAGTCTCACTCAATGTACATTCCTCTCAGGAAGTCATTCTTTATTTTGGCAATCTGAGACAACATTTCTGAGGAAAGACCAATGATAATGCAAGTGGTTTTGATAAAACCTTGGTAAAACGAAAGAGACTAAGCACCCGTTTAACTTCCCTACACTGTGATAAGCAGCCAGCTATGAGGAACAGAACACAAATGAAAAGATGCATATCGCCTCAGCTAAAATATCATGCAAAAAAGTTCACCACAACAGCATGGTAGAATAATTATAAAACCATATGCACCC